TTTCGATTAGACATGCATAATTCGACATTCTTTTATATAAAATGTGTGCCACAAAATAAGATTGAACTATAGGGAAAATAAAACCATGGTGTTCTACATTACCATACAAAATTTTGATAGAAGTGTATTTGATGTAAATATATTTTTTTTATATTGACCAAGGGGTTGCTGGACAAAATTATCCAATACATTGCCTAGGATAAAGTCATGGAAGTTTCAAAATATAAAGGACATAATTGTCTGTGATCCTAACTCACTATCTAAGCATAGAGCAATATGAATAAAATATAAAGGGTTTCTGTACTGTTTATGTTGTTGTGTTAATCATTGATAACAGTACCATGGTGCTATATATTATTCATTATGGTACTATCTGATTTACATATTATAATACAATATATTAAAAGTGTGGTGCTATAATTTGTGGCAGCATCTCCTTTCATATGCATTATTTCATATCAGCAGCTTAAGTATTTTGAGCTTTCTTTCAGTGATTCAAGCATAAATCGAAGTCATCCCAAATATCCGCCATTAAAGCTCAATTCTCCAATAAACGATGACATTAAGACATGACACACTTACTACCTTCTGATAAAAATCAAAATTCCATACACTTAATTTAAGTTGGTGAATAATTTAACTTGATAAAATATTTCCGCCAGCAGCATCATAAACATTAAAGGAAGACTTGATCTTGTGCAATGCAGTATACCAGTATAGTCATATCCTTAATCAATGAACATTTAAAGCCAAGGAGGCAGACTTAAACAGTAATCCCTAAAGGAGTATGTTCAGTAAGGGAACTGTCTGGTCCCGAATATAAATTTCATTGTTGAAAGATAAAAATTGTTTCAAGTTAACGAATAGATATGCAAGAAAGATGAATAGAATTTATTTTGTCAAGCTTACTTTTATAAAGACCACTAGTAGACCAAAAATAGTAATTTTTGTGAAAGTTGATAAAATTAGCTGGATTACAACCACATTTCTGTCAAGGGAACATAGAGCGCAGACTAAACACTAAATATTCAAGTCAGATTTGTAATTTGATATAAATAAGATAATGTAAAAAAAAATTTTCAATGTATGCCTTCTATGTTTCTGGTCCTAAAAACCAATGGAAATTGGCCTACTTTCATTGAAATTGAAGGAAAATCAAAAGTTGTGATATTTGTGACGTCATGAAAAGAATGCTGATTCGTAAATTTCCAATAAAGTGACCTATTTCCTATCAAGTCATTGTTTTAGCTATGATTTGTTATGATAATGATCAATAAATCCCTCTTTGAAATTTCAGCTAGAAATAGGGACAATATTGTGGCCTTATTAAACCCTCTTCTTTTTTAGCTTTAAAAAACAATAATACTCATTTTTTGTCTTCGACAAAGCAAGACTTAAGCATGCTACTTCTGGTGGCAGTGGCATCCCTGGGGTCAACAATGTGTTAGTTTGGTTTATGTCAGTTTAGGTGAACTACAGTGGTATGTCAATTATATTTGGTATGCAGTTGTATTAATATTTGCACATCTCATTTCAATGGAAATTATTTGGCCCTGCCCCTGAGTCATGGTCTATTGGCTTTGAATCTTATCCTTTACATGTTAAAGTTTGTGACTAGGTCAGTTTAAGGGGAACCACTAGTGGAAGGTCTATGATATTTTGTAGTTGTATCAGCATTGGCACATCTCATTTCAATGGAAATTATTTGGTCCGCCCCTTCACTCATTGTCTTGTGACTGTGAAACTTTTGCATAGTTTACAAGTTAAAGTTTCTGATAAGGTCACTTTAATACCAACCACTAATGGTTAGTCAATGATATTTAGTATGCAGAGGTATTAGCATTTGCATGTCTCATTTCCATGGAGGTAATATGGTCTGACCTCATCATTGTTCATCGACTTTGAAACTTTTGCATAGTTTACATGTTAAAGTATTGTCATTTCAATTTCAATAACTGCATAATACTATCAAAATCAAATTAAGGTGAGACATATCTCTGTGTAAAGGGAACCACTTATGATAAATCAATGGTATTCGGTATGCAGTTGTATTAACATTAGCATTTCTCATTTCAACAGAGAATATTTTGCTCTGCATCTTCATTCATGGTTCATTGAATTTGAATGTTTTGCATTGTTAATATATTCAAGTGTTGGCATTTTATTTTCAATAATTTAAATTAAATATAACTATAAAAATTACATAAAGATGAGACATATTCCTGTGTCAACAGTTTAATCACTAATGAATTCCCGAAAGTGTAATCATACTCGCACATCTAATTTCTTTATTTGCTATAAAATTTAATAAACATGTTGACTAATTTATGATATCTATTATGCCTCTGTAAAAGTTTAGTTATATAAAATATTTATTTGGAATCTGCACACAATCACGCAAATACATTCATATAGAATTTACCATTTGAAAGCAATGATGCTTAATATAAATTAAAGGTAAACAAGTGTACATAAACATTAACGAGATGGTTTGTATAGTATAGTTAGTATTATATTACCTCTCCAATTTAGGATCTGTAGTCTATAGCAATAATAATTACTATAACAGAATGTTGACAGGAAGGATATCAAAACTTGCTTTGGTTATTATTTGGCATTAGTTATCAACATTATTTATAACTTCAATCATGTTCATTAATAGACAAAATTAACACACTTCTGGCTAATAAACAAAATTGTCAAAAAAAAATATGACCTTGAATGATATATTCTCTTATGGTTGCAGCCTTTTATTGATTTCTTGCACAAAGATATTTCATGTATCACACTGCAGGGAGTATTATGAAATGATATTGCAACATTTCCATTGGTTATTTGTTAGGTCATTAATGATTTTTATAGGTCAAAACAATGAGATTTCTTCCATCATATTCAAAACACACACACTTTTCACCTGCAAATCTTATTTTTTCAAATTTTATTACATTCTGAAGCGTACAAAAAGTTTTAAATGTCTGATGTTAAAAATTGAACAGGTCATGTGATGTCATACTGGTATATAAAAAAGACTAGATCAACTAGTCACAGACTTTTCTTTTTAACACAAAAAGTTTACCGAAGTTTACCGATGTTTACCGTTAGAGAAATAGGTTTAACAACTCGTTAGGATTGGATATCGCTTGATATGAACTCTTGCTATTTAATTTAAAGATTCATTCATTATTATATTGAAATTAAATAACTCAAGTTGATATCAAGCGACATCCAACTCTCATTCATCATGAAACCTATAATTAACTTATTTTTGTGATAAGTAGCTGGTCTGCTAACCTCAAAAGTGACTGGAGTAAAGACAATAAGCTACTAAGACTTCTTTAGTGCAGCCACAAGACCCATGCAGAGAATTGGAGGGGTCAGCATTGAGCTATGCAGGATGTGTAAATATATTCAGTCTGGCATGCTCTAATTGGGTATGTTAAATCCAAAGCTCCTGTTGGTGATATCAAATTTATCTCTCAATTTTCCTGGTTGATTTATTTTTCAACAGTTTGGAGTCTGGTGATCAAAGTAGTGCTTGCTTACATATATTGATGAAACCTAGGCCTGTAACATTATGATGCCAAAAAATGAATACTTAGATCCTGTGAAAAAGTCACTGATGCATTCTACTACTTCTGTAAATATGGGACAACTGAGGACACTCAAGATTTAACTACTTCAGACATTTTTTTATTTATATATGTAAAACTGTTCACATAATTATGATTTACAAATATTTTTCATAAATACACCTTTCTTACCCCCTATTATATAAATGTGTGTCTAATTATCACAAAAATGACAACAAAAATGCAAACAGATATTCAAACATCGCAATTTTTCTTTCATTCTATAACAATTCAAAAGGAAGAGTCAATTTCACACTAAAATTCAAAGTAATCCAAAGGAATATCTTATCTCTGTCTCAAGATTCTATGTGTATTGAATTTATATGAATGAAAATTTCTGAAAATATTGCTTTTTACTCTTCCTAACAGTAGCAAATTGCCAATTAATAAAATCTACACAAGGGTGATGATAAAACCTTTACTTTATGTCGACATTTGTACTTGATGAATAATGTAAATACAAAAGTTCTGAACCTCATAAAAAGAATAAGAAAATATCCCTATATGGTCAATTTTGTTTAACACATGTTGAAATGACAATCCATCAGTTGTATAGTTTGTTCCAGTCTCATTTATAATGATCATGTAGAACTAATAAATAATGTGATCCTTTATTTTCCTGAAAGAAAAAATAAAATTGATTATATTTTCCCTGATAGTGATACAATGTTTTTTTTCTATTTTTTAAGCAGCCTTTATTCTTATTGACATTTTTCATAACAGCTTTTTTTTTTCTTTTCAAATATAATAATAGAACAGAGTTTAAATGTCACCTGCATTGCATATAATTTATTTGTCCCATTGTAAGAACTAAAAGGATAAATTTGTTGGTTCTTTAAAACTTTTATAAATATCTTAGAGAAATGTATGCCTACCACATCTCCTTATTTTTATATTGAGAGCCTTTACAATGCAATTTTTCATATAATTAATATTTCAAAGGGCACAACTCTTTTAAAAATTGTTGATATGTACTGATTTTTCAATCTTATCTGAGACATTGATGATATAAATCTGATATTAATTTGATAAAAATCTGGCAAGAATTGTTAACGTGAGAGTGCTAACAAGACTGGACACTTGCACAGACAGACAAATGCCTGGTATTTCTATGTCAACCACAAGGCATCACGAGGACACATGGGGACAAATAAGCAGTTAAAATGATTTATTTTTACTTTTATGTACATGTATTGTATAAAATATGCTATTAGTAGCTTTAATACTTATTTCTATTATTTATAAGTGCATGCATACATCTTAGATCATCTAGGTGATGTAACTATAATGTAACAACCTTGTTAAATACAGCCTTCTTTTTTAAAACATTGTTAGAAAATATCATTACATGTATATACAAACAATACAAACCTAATGTTTATCATGCTGTAACGGATGATGAATAATTTCTGGCTATTCTGTCAAATTCACTTTCCTTAAAAAAAAAAAAGTGTTATCAATTAAAATCATAAACTATGAAGTAAACATAAATCAGACTAATTGAGTTTTGTTCACTTTAATTATTGTTCAGATACAAAAACTGCATGCATATCTAAAAACAAATCAACTATATTAGTCCTGACCTGAAAAGACGGTCAACCAGAATGAAGGGTGAAACATTTTGGACTGGCAATGAATTCACTGATGGACATGAGGTGACCAGAGAAATGATTGCATGCATATTCAAGACAACTATATGTTAATTTCCATTCCCTGGTTTGTTCCTGGAATGACTGGTTGATTTCTAATTTTTGCATGCTAGATCACAAGCTAACAGTGCCAAAGAAACATGTCACCCTACGAAGGCATATACATTACTTTGAAGTGCACTGATCGGTCATTGCTTTTACTTTTTAGCTGCATGCTTAATGAGAGGGCATTCTATTACTAGGCTACAGAGCCTGAGATGTGGTTGTCTGCTTTTTGAAAACTAAGCCAAAAAAATCCTCTGGAACTGCATGAATAGGTCATCTTAATATCCTTCCAAAAGTTGCAGCAATGTTCTTTTTGATGTATACTCTTCCAACACACAGGCCATTGGATTTAAAATTCTCTTTTTGACTAGCCATGATATGATCAAGATTTTCAATAGAAAAAAAAAAAAAAAATGTGTTATCAAACTAAGAAGTAAACATAAATCAGACTAATTGAGTTTTTTTTTTTTATTTATTTCTATTATTTTTAAGTGCATGCATACATCTTAGATCAAAATCAAAAAATCAAAATACCAATTAAATGAAAAGAGAGTTGGATGATGTGCTATTGCAAAAGAAGAAACAAGATGCCAGGAAGGCATCAAAATTATAGGTAACATCATAACCTAAAGAAAAAAAAAAGTGAAGACAAGTAAAAATCCAGAGATAGGTTGCATTCGGTGATAGTCACAAATAAGGAAAGGAAAATGGAATTGGAATATGGCTGCAACACATGGAAATTTGATCATCTGTAATATAGAAATTATGTAACTGCCGTCCAAATTATGATGGTGTAAATTTTTGAACAGATGACTTCAACATACCATTTGGAACCCATTGTTTAGAAACTTATTGAAGCAGCAACCCTCTATCAATGAATCCTGATAGGAAAGACAAGCTCATTTCAACTAAGTGATATATACAGATTAATACATGGCCTTTTCCATATCTGCCCGGGTATCATATCAGCCTGGGGCTGATATGGGTCGAGGGATGATATAAGGGCCTATCTGGAAAAGGAAATGTATTAAACTTTAATCAAAAACTACCAATGTACAAATGCACCATGGCTGATATACCCATATCAGCCTAACCATATGACGTCACATAAGGCTGATATGGGTTATCAACCTGTGTGTGAATTTATGGCTACTTTACTTCTGCTCGTTACTCTTATGCAAAATCTATCATATTAATGCTAAGTATATGATGAATAGTTATAAAACTCCATATGCATGTGCTACTGGAAATCTTACTAATTCTCACTATGGATTCTTATGTGTAGGTTAAGGTTAGAAGCAGACCTAATTATATCTGCTGGATCCTTTATTTCAAATCTAATGGGATAGATGTGATCCCTAAAGTCACCATACTTTGGTAACTTCATGGTCCAAATCTAGAGAGAGCTAGCTTTGTCAGTGATTTAACTCATTACATGAACATCATTTAATTTACAATATATAAAACAGCAAAATCAATATCTCAATGTTTGAGAAAAAGTCTAAGATGTTTTAACTAACCTTATGTAGTAAGTCTTGAACAAATGGATGACTTCTGTGTGAATCTTTTAATTGGGATAAATATCTGTTACTAATCTGGAAAAAATAAACATTCATTGTAATCGCATTCACAAATAATCTACTAAAAATGACAGGGTTCTAGATTGTTAACATTCATATTGACTTAAAATTTCAAAGAAACCATTAAATTTTATGTCACTTTGGTAGATATTTGATATGGCAATTGTTCCGCTTATAAAGATACTGAACAATTTAATGACATGAAACAGACTATTTACATAACTGTCTGCAAGCTAAAGGTACACGGTTCTTAAGTTAAAACCATACTTAATTCATTTTTTTAATCTTTTATATAAAGTTATAAAATTTCAGTGTTCTAGGATTTTTATACATATGCAACTTTCCCTTGGAAAGTTGGTATCAAAAATTCACTTTCCCACAAGTTTAATGAACTTTCCCTGAATTTTTTACTATTTAAAAATGTTTTCATAATATTGTTATTCCTTTTAATGCATGTTTATACATGTAGTTCTACTTAAAATTATGAACTCTGTTATTTCCTATGAAATTAATTAGTTTGTCTAACTAGCTTGTGACTGTGTTGATAATTTAATGTCATGTTCATATAGATATGCAAAACAAGTGATAGTTCATATAAATGTGACATTACATCAGTAATTCAAATGTATTGGCACAAAAAAGGGATGATATAGTCAAACATTACACGCAAAAAATCACGAATTTGAGATATGGATATTAAATCTTTTACCGTTTGCGTTCCGGTTATTATTAAAGTTTTTTAGACTTTAGAACCCCTGTATAATTTACACCGACAACAACAATCTCGCTTTGAGACTTTGATTGAAATAAAAAAATACAAACGGTTACATTGATCATTTGATCTGTATGAAAAGGAAGTTTCTGTAATTTTATTTTACTTGCCCACGGACAACAAAGGTTTGAATTTCCACTTACCACGGTTGACAGGAAAGGGGAATTCTAGAACATTGAAATTTATATATTATTTGATGACTCTTGATATCTTTTGTGGTGTCAAATATTTAAAAAGTCTGCCCATCTTATTAAAATCTTTCATTTCATTGAAAATTTACTAGTGTATTTCATATGGCCTAAACAATTGTTGAATCCATTTTTTCACACAATAAATAACATGAATAAAGTTTAGTGTGTACAAGATAAGTGTACATAGAACTACCATATGTAAAAACAAAGCTTCTTACTCCATATTTACAAAATATTGTTTATATATTTATAATCTACAAACCTCAATAGATTTTCCTGTATGTTGTGTTAAAATAATCATGTTTATCAATGTTTCTGGGTTGTTTGAATCCTGAAATAAATAAGTAACATATCAGGTTAATGATTTTCTTTAAATTGTAAAAGTAAAACCAATTTGTAATTATTTGTTATATATCATTATCTGGTAAGGGATCTTTTTTATGAGTAAACAGTAAATAAAAAATAACATGTTTTTATTTATATGCAAAATTAAATTGGAACGACTGGATTTAAATTTATCTTAAAAAAAGAAACCATTACGAATATTCTACTATTTATATGTATAGGGACCAGAATGGAATGATGATTAATAAGTCTTGTATTTTAAACAGTTCTCTTAAGATTTGTACTAAAAACTCACACATCCAATTCAGATTTGACTAGAGTACTGTTGATGGCTCTAGAGTTTCCTTTGGGTATTTTTGTTTGAAGACTTTCCTCAAAATGTGGCAATTATGAATTCAATCAATTAAAAAACAGACCAAAGGAATGAAAAATATTCTCTGAACTGACTACTATTTGCTTATTTTTCCATGCATAGTCTTTATTCTTAATGCAGATTAAAATATTTTTTCCGAATGAAAAACTGAAAAATAATGGTTGAGTGTGAAGGTAAAATCCAATTATCTCCCTTTAATTCCTATTTATGTCCAACATTTACAATGTACCTTATCCATAGCTTCCTGTAATACAGATTCAGCATCATCAAACTTTCCTTGGGCCATATAACATGCTGCTTGGCCATTCAGTAATAATGGTGTAGCGTTATGTTTGTCTGACATTTCTTGGAAGATATAATATGCATCTTGATATTTGTCACCTCCCTGCAATTACAATATTATGATGATATTTAAAATGCTATTAGTCTACTGCTGTCAGACCTTTTCATACCTTTTTGGTGACATGAGCTAACAAAATGTTTAAAACTATACAACAGTTCATGGGTAAAGTTATGAAAATAACTATTTCTTTTACCCCTAAACCATATTTTAACAAAATTTATACAGATACCGTAGAAAGGCTTGTATAGTCCGCGGTTTTATTCTCCAAAATTGGACCTTCCAGACGGGGTGCGGACTATAGAGTACAATAAGCAAGAAATAAGAGAAAAATTTCAATTTCGCGGTCGAGGTGGTTTGTTTACGTTCCGCCATCTTTGTTATTTCTATTGTAGAGGGCGCTCTTATCATTTTTCAAACTAATAATTTTAACTCATCCATATTAATAAGTTATTTCTATTCAGTATCAAATATATACTGCTAAATATAAAAACTAAACCTTTCATTACAAATTTCTCGTTTCTTTTCAATGCATTGGTTGAAATAAACTGGTATCTGCTCGATTGAAACGATACAAACATAGTGAAAAAGACAACCGTAAACCAGCTTAGAATTTGTAAACTACAAAACGAAATCGGTTATTGTTCGTTCCGTTTTGGTGTTTCATACTGACTAATATGGTTTGTATTAGCTTAAGACCCTTCAAACATTAATGTGATAGATATATTAAAGACTGTTTTACAAAAGGATGGAACTGTTTTACTTTCAAAGTCGTATTATAGTGATATCTGTTATGTACGGATTTCGACTCTCACCGGTTAATTTCTTCTTTTACACGTGCTTTTTAAACTTCCTGTTTAAACATACACAAGTTTCTAAATTGTTTTTTAAGTGAATTAAACTTATTTTAACAATCATGAAGCGTTCTAGAATCCTTAACAAGCAGTTTCAGCTTCTGTTTGATGATGGAAAACAGGTTTTTCCAAGAAAATACCGCAAACGACCGCACAGGATTTGAAATTACCGGAGTTTCATTAGACCTTTTCTAACAGTTACAAAAAGTTTTTTTACCTAAAATTTCGTGGGGAGAAGGGGGTGCGGACTATGTACCACTGCGAACTATACAAGCCTTTCTACGGTAGACCAACCTTAAAATATAGTTTGATTCCAATTTTTAACCCTACCATCATAAATTTTGTAATATATAATTAGGTAGGTGAAATACATTTTTCTCTCTGAAAATGATCATATATTCCATAAATAAGCAATAGAAAACCATGCCAAATTATTTTGGTTTGTGAAAAATTGTTTTTTACAGCCAATTACTATGTGTAGGTAGGAAGACGTGAAACACCTATTATTTTAATTTTTGCCTTATTCATTTGCAGAGACTTAAAATTTTTAACTACACAAGTTAGATCTGCATTCTATCTTCTGAACATAAGTAATGAAATTATCCTATACTAATATCAATGAAATATTTTACATTGGACATTAAGGAAACAACAATCAATCAATATCCAACACTATGTACTAACCACTGATAAATTAAACCAAGCTTGTGCTAACTGTGTCAATACACTGTCTTCATCTATTTCTTGCATTCTTTTCAATTCTTTCCTGAAAAATATAAAAAATACTGTAAATAATTGGCATAAAGTAGTCCTCAAAATAGTTCTGCATCCTAAGAAGTCAAAAATTCAAACTTCTGTGTACATAGATGCTTGAGATTAAGGATTTTTTTAAAACAAAAACAAAATGTCCTTCTTATAAACTCATCATAGATACCAGGATTGAAATTTTGTATTAGCGCCAGATGCGCGTTTCGTCTACAAAAGACTTGTCAGTGACGCTCGAATCAAAAAAGTTAAAAAGGCCAAATAAAGTACGAAGTTGAAGAGCATTGAGGACCAAAAATTCCTAAAAGTTTTGCCAAATACAGCTAAGGTAATCTATTCCTGAGGAAGAAAAGCCTAAATCATTCATTTGATAATTTCACATTTGATGATTTATATTCAATCATCAAAATATTAGCAAAGTAAAGAAATGGTTGAAATAGATAAGACCCTACACAAACTAGAGAACAAATAACATTTAAAATACTGTAAATTGAGTAATTATTGCAAGATTTTTATTAATGTAAATAATATCGCAATAATAAAACTTGTATTCTGGTGTCTGATGCATATATTTTTGTATGAAGCTTTTCCTGAAATCACAATAGTTGATCTGGCATTTTTGTCCATTCTTCAAAAAATTGCAATAACAAGAGGCTGTCGAGTGACAGCAAACCGGATTTTCCTGCAGAGGTCGAACCCTGAACAGTTGAGCAAGTATGGACACAACATTTAAGCTTAAAACAGCTCTGAATTTGGATTGTGATTGAATATTTAAAATAGATTATTATCTAATTAATAATGAAAATGATTTTTGCAAATCTGAACCCCAAACAGGATCATGTAAAAATTAAACATTTACACACACAACAAAAATAAAATACCACTTAACAACTGTGACATCTACCTTCATAACACACATGACTTAAAAAAATAGTTACAAAGAAATTTTGATGTTATCATTTGTTCATGGAATAAGTTTGAGTTATTTCCCTTTGAACAGAAATATGGTTAAACATAGTACTCAAACATTAGATATGATTAATAGTTCTCTAAAATTAGATATGATGTAACACAATGTATATCTATTTTCAAGTTATATTCAAATATAATTAATAGTTCCAAATATTTTTTCTTTCATTTGTCACAAACTAATACAGATCTGCAACTTATCTATGATCAATGTCAACAACTTTAAATGTAATGAAATATATCCTATAATAAAAATAGATTATAATCTAATTAAAGGAGTTCACTTCATAAAAGAAAATATATATGTATAAAGCATTCAGAAAATTAGTTTATACAGAATAACAAACAAACCTACCACAAAATTCTTTAAACAATTTACCAAAGAAAAGAAAAAAAATATTCAAAATGTCATTTATCATTAATACAATCTCTTTTAAAAATCTTTTAAAAAATTTCCCTTTGTAAAGAAATGGATTAATTCATCAAAAATTGAATTCTTGGAAAGGGCTATAACTGAACAAGGAGAAAAGCTAAAATCGTGAAAATTGAACTTGACCTTCATTTAGTCACAGGAAACAACATATCTAAATTTGAAAAAAATTCTTCAAAGCGTTTTCATGTAAATGAACGGACACTGTTTGGCTGCCTGCCCGCAGTACATCCCCAAATCAATAACCGATTTTTACTTCAAAAATCCGGTTAAAAAATGCACACAATAATTTATGAATTTACAGTACACAAAAGACATTAAACAGCTTAGCATGAGTTCTGTATAAACTTATAAACAGACCTTTATTAATCAAATTAAGAATTTGAAATGGTTTGATAAAGAAAAAAAAATTGGTTTAATCAAAATTATTTTTTTATTTACTACACTTTGCACATTAATTTACTATACTTTCCACTATTAATATTCAAATAAATCATTTGTGAAAATAAAGCATGTAGGCTTCTTTCATATACAATTCATAGTTTTAAATAATTTTTAATCTGTATCATTAAGTTTACTCCCATTCATGTAGGAATACCACTCGTTTTCTGCTACAATGAGCAAATTATAAGCGTCAAGGCTTTTCTCCAATTTCATTAATATATTATGTTTGCAAGAGTATAGACAGTGCTACCGTGCTTCTTTGAAAGGAGAATAACTTTTTATCCAAATGTTATTTGAAGAGTCAAATTGGGTATTCATGATACGATTTACACACAAACTTTTAATATAAAATATTATTGATCTAATAATAGATGAATTACCTCCCCAAATCAATTCTGTCCAATTTCAGTAACATCTGTATAGCTAACGCAATGCTGAAAAAGATATAAATGTATATGAAATCTCTTCTTCTCTTGTTAGTTTTAATTCAATATGGATGATTATTTTCACAAAAGATATTGCACAAAGTTTTTGTATATATGCTCCTTAGTCAAGTTTTATGGATTCTATCTCAAACACATATATTAGATTATAAACAAACTGGTCAATTTTAATATATTTCTTTCGTACAATACAAGTCAAGATATCCTGAAACCCAGATGTGTATTCACACATTCATTGGCCTGTCAAAAATCAGTTACCTGGTTAGTGATTGTCTTTGAGTAATTTCTTAATGTTTTGGTTTTTTTCATTTAAGGAATTTGGTTCTGATGGCAGATCTTTAAATTTATTTGCAACTTGTCTAGACTATTGGCAAATAGGAGCTTGACATACTGTAAACCAACTTATTTTCGCGCATACTTTATATCATGTTAAGTTCTTTCTAGTCAACTTCGCGACGATATATTTCCACAATCTTTCTCATTTTCTTGATATATATTTATATAATGCAAGATCCAAGTTTTACATAAATGCGAAGATTTAAATTTGTGTTATTTTTCTACTCACAAAAGTCACGAAAATAAATTGCTTGCGAAAAATTAGTTAGTTTACAGTATTGTGTAGAAACTTGTCCATTGTTCAATACTGTACGCTGACCACTAGATGCCTTTTCATTTTTGTGTTGTGTGGTTGCTGGACCATTATCTTACATATATACCACATATTTCCCTTACTTTTTTTCATGATGATGGATGGCTGTTTACGCCCAGTGGCATATAAAATGCATTATCAAGACAAGAACATGTTAATGTGATCTGAATATGAACCTTGCTTAGTACTAGACTGATACGCTGAGCCAGATTTTAACATACTATTTCAGAAGGTGCCTGCAGGTAGACATGTAACCTTACTTAAACAATATTCTGTCTCTGCGCCGAACAGTCTTTGCTCTTACTCCTTAATGCAGCATGCTTAGCGGAGAAGCAGCAAATACTTATTTTAAAGCCTTGGTTTAACCCGGACAGGGATCTACCCTTCTTATATTCATGACAAGCTTTTTATTGATCTCTGTGTCATTAACTTTTGTAGACAAAACTAATAAAACCTAAGAAGTTTGAAACTAATAATTTCTTCAATGTTTTTTTCTGTACCTGGCTCAATAAATGGGCATTTTTGTTCAATCAATCAACTGAAAACATTGCAGATATTCTTACAACTTAATTGTTATATCATAAGTACAATAGCATAAATAATACAGTATGCTTACTAATAAATATTTTCAGATATATTTCAAACTATTACTATACCAAACAATTTATATAAATTAGATTTGACTAGATTTCAATTTTAAATTTTTTTTCAACTACTTCCATAAATTTAATATTTTATGAAACATAACCTGCTTTTAAAGCATAAACATTATAACTGTTATCATTTAACAATAATCCAAAACAAGTAAGCAAAAACTATCAACTCACCATTCTAATGCATCTGAGGGATTCAGTACTCTTAAAGCTGCATCATAATTCTGAGGAGTAAAATTTAAAGCTGTTAAATAGGTTTTTTTCTTCTACAATCTTGAAACATTTCTAAATCAAAATATGCTTATAAATGCAGAGTATTAACTTCTACGACATTAGGTCTCTGGTGGAGTGTCTAATTGGCAATCAAACAACATCTTCTTATTTTCATATGAAATAATTCTAGATACATATAAGTTTAACTTTAAATGTAACTTCCACATTTCATTTCTATACGTTGATTTTAAAGGTAGCCGTTAACAGGAAAAATGTTTTGAGAGTCTGAATAATAATCTATTTCTGTAGTATCTCTTTAATTAATTCATTTATACAAGAATCATTGAAAGTATGTTTGCACAAAGGAGTAGGTTCGATAAGCCCCTAAAATGACCCCTATTTCTAGCTAAATTTCAAAATATGATATATTGACCAATATGTCTATTTGTTGAACATTTACGTACTTGCTTTCTATTCATGACATCACAAATAGCACTCATTTTGATTTTCCACCAAAATTCAATGAAAACTAGTAAATTTCCTTTGATTTTTTGGACAGGAAATATAGAATGTATGTGTCGACAAAAAAGATCTTTTAACATAAAGTTTGTTATGGCATTTTAGATATCTGACTTGAATATTTAGTTTGTCAAGTCCTGCGCTCTATGTTTCCTAGGCCTGAATCATGTTAATTTAGTTAAATTCTAGACGATTTTGTCAAATTTCCCAAAAATCTCTATTTTTGACATATTTGGGGTGTAATAATCAATGCTTTTTAAAATAAAACTTTGACAAAATACTTTCTTATATGTCTTTTTATTAACTTAAAACATTTTTTATCTTGAAACATTAAACTTAATAAACGAGGCCAAATATGGCACTTATCGAACTTACTCCTTTACTAAAGTACTATTTGCTCACAGCACTATTATGAATTCCTGGCCAGCACAGCATGCTTATAATTCAATTGACTAGGTAGGGATGCATGTAAATTTAAATTCAGGATTAGTTTATGAGCAAGCACCAGGTACCCCCTTTGAATCCACCACTGAGAAAGTTTACCTGTTCATGAAAGTATATAGAAGCAGCCATCACCAGGAATGTTGTATTACTGATGTCTACATTTGCACTCATTCTACTGTCTAAGTCTCTGACTATAGCATCTCTGTAATTAAATTATTAAATAAGTTTTTAAACAAACTGTAGAAATGAAAATAAATTCATAAATTACACATATTTTATTCATCCTCTTATTTTCACATGTTATCATTCCTTAAATTATTTCTTTTTTTTATACCCCCAATAACAGTAGAAAATCAATATAACGAAAAATCAATGAATTAATGAACTAAAATTTGTTAACTTTTTTTACTTTAACAGTTGTGCTTGCACATTACTATGTTCTTGTTCTGACAGACACTGCTATGTTGTAAGTCGTACAATTTCCCGCAAATTTGTATATATCTGATTGAATACCAAAAAAACTAATGACAACAATACAATGAAAATAAAATTCTGAATACAGACTTTGTCCTCTTTTACACCTTGCTCATAATAAGACATACACAAAACCATAGCCATGGAATACAGAGTTGTCTCCATTATTCAATACTATACCTCTTAGACTGATTAGATAGGTAGTCAGCAAAGAGCTTGACGGCTTGCATTTCGTCAGGATGTGCTGCATTTATACCGTCTAGAACAACTCCATATTTCCTTTGTGCAATGTAAGCTCTGTACATAATAACATCTTTATCCACCTTCGACTTTGGATTATTTGTCTACAATATAGAAAATTATTATATACTAACCTAACTAAAAGCAAAACAAAAACCATATATTGATTTATACTCTTTTATTTGAGTAATGGAATACCTACAATTATTTGAATTTTTGTAAGAAAAAATATGTGGTGTTTCCTGTTAGGAATTTGAAAAGTGGTACCTTTGGTCTTATATATATTCTAAATGGATAACTCTATCATACAGTTAAGTCATGAAAGTCTTATAATCTTGTTTGTCCAATAGTCCATGTAGTTCATTTATGGAACATTAAATGAGCAGACTTACAAAAATGAGCTTATTGACCAGTGTTATATATATATTTGGCTACTACACCTTATAGATTTCAAGTGAATCCCTGACAACTCGCCCCAACTTTCTACCAAATTGCCCCACTCATGTAAACCAACTGGCCCCACTCATGTTAACCAACTGGCCCATCTTATGAAAAGGGTTTAAATAACGCTGAATTTAGGACTGCAAACTCGTCCCATTCATGGAAAAACATTAAATCTGACTGAATTTGGGCCTACCAAATCGCCCCACAAAGAAAAGTAGTTTTATCCAGATGATTTTAGGACGACCAACTCGACCCACTATTGAAAAGTAGTTTAATCCCGATAAATAAAGGTCTGCCAACTTGTTTTGAATTATTGCTACATCAAGTACTATTTTTTAATCTGATCATGCTGATGGAACTTAAATAAATACAACAGATTCATAATTATTAATAAAATATTGCCAATTTTATCTTAAGAAATGAAGCATCATTTAATTTCAATCAGAATCATATATTAAATTTTCATTTTCATTAATATAACATGTGGTTTTTGTCTATTGTTATTTTAGCATTTCATTTGCGGCGATTATGCAGATTAAACTTCATATCATAAGTTGGCAGAGTTTGCAGACCTTTTATTTATCTGTATTAAACTACTTTTCTTAAGAGGGTTGAGTTGGCAGGCCTAAATTTAGTGGGATATGAATTCTTTGTTAGTGGAATGAGTTGGCAGGCCTAAATTTAATAATTTTTAATAGAGGGGTGAATTGGTAAACAAGAGTGGGTCGAGTTGGTCTGAGGCAATTCAGCAGTTGTAGTGTTTCCTACAGGTGGTTTTGGCGTGCTATGGCACCCTGCCGTTTTTTTGATGCACTGCCCTTTTTAGGGAAATAAATGGGGAATGTGTCCATGGGACACAGATGATGCCACTACTTGCATGTAACTTTATAAAGGGACTTAACTCAAGAACGGTAAAAGCGACGCTACCCAAATTCGTACTTGATCTGATATAGCTTTGATAAGTACAAAAAAATCAAAAACGCTTCCAAAAAAAAAAAAAAATATTGAAAAAATGAGGAATAGCACAAGAATGTGTATAGTAAGTCTTGCTATACAAATCCTTGAATTGCCTTCAACATTTTGTACAGGAATGAACCAAGGTAGCTTTGATTGTTATAAACATATGAGATCCAAAGGTATTTTGCACTAATTCTTTTGTCCAGCTAAAAAGCAATGCAATGCATATGCTCTTGGTCATGCAAAGTCCACTTTCACAACACATTCTTAGACATTCAGCCTCAGTGATCCTGTATTAAAGTTTAAAACTGGAGTTATTGAAATGAAGCAGTTGCACTATCAAGATTTTATTAGCATTGTCTAGAAGTGATACTTTTATTACAAAAAGGAATTAAATTAATAACCTAATACACATATCTTTATTTCTTACCAATAAATATGAAACAATGGTATATTTTGATTAAATCCCTATCTATTAAAGTGTCTTTATATATATGTAATAGTGCCCTAAAAGTGTAGTCCTTTGCGCAAAGGGTGCACCTAAAGTGTAGCCAATCACGCTAAGAGTGCCCTCAGAGAAAAAAATTACACTGCCCTTTTCAAAAGCTGCAGGAAACACTAAGTTGTTGCTTTCATATCAGGCATTTGGGATCTCACTTTAATATTAGCAACAAGAAGAATAATTTAGCAACAAGATAACTTATTATTAGGGACAAGAAAACAAATTTAATATCAAGAAATCTAGTTATATAAATGTAAATTATTTCAAATAAATAGATATAGAGACAAGCATTAAAGTGTGCGTTTTTCATTTACTTGTATTTTCATTATTTCATTATACTGATACATTTGTAGAATAACATAAATACAATGTATTTGTTCATGCAAGAAAAAAGTTTTGTTTTTTTATCATATACATGTATATCATGTATATGACCCAAATTATTGTCTAAAATGCATAAAATGTTAAAATATCAACATCGTCTAGTATAGTTAAGATTCATTATGTATGTACATGAGTGTCTGAAGGATTAGCTCCTCCCGGATGCTCTGATATTTAGAGTAATTGCCATGTGTTTTTATTTACATAATTTAATCATCAATTAACTCTCTGTTGAGGCAGGATTCTGATTCATGGATTGTTTCAAAATGTTTAACATTTGTTTACACTAAAAATTCCCTACAAGACTGCAAGTGCTACTAATTACAACAACATTTGAATTTTTTTAAAACAACACATACATGAAATAAATTTTTCTTGTTGCTAAATCTGTCTTCTTGACACTTATTTTTTTTCTTCTTGTCGCTAATTAGTGAGACCGGGCATTTATATTCCATAATCTACATTTATACCATTACTGGGAATCCATAAGGTAATCCTGTGAAGTCACAAATAAAACTGTCTGACACCACAAAGCAAAAGTGATTGATGTACGACATCAATAGTCCAAGTGTTGCACATTCCAAAATAGGGAATTTATGTACATGTCAATCTACAGAAATATAAAATACCTCAGATTAACCCTTTGATTCTGCCGAAATATCTAAAGGTGGGCAAACAGGGATTTGATGAGCAGTCAATAAAAAAGCTCTGAACTTCTAAACCCCAAAAAGATTTTTTTTTTTAAATGTGTATGCTGGCTTTCCTGCCAGCTGAAACGAAGTAACAATCTGAAGATAGGTAAAATAACAAAAATTCCCAACTCCAAGGAAAATTCAAAACGGAAAGTCCCTTATCTGCTTATCAAATGGCAAAATCAAAAGCTCAAACACATCAAACGAATGGAAAACAACTGTCATATTCCTGGTTTGGTACAGGCATTTCCTTTTTGTAGAAAATGGTGGATTAAACCTGGTTTTATAGCTAGCTAAACCTCTCACTTTTATGACAGTCGCATACAATTACATTATATTGACAACAATGTATGAACAAAACAAACAGACATAAAATTATAAGGGGACGAAGTCCCCTATTACAGTAGAAAAATCAATAAAAAAAAAAAATCGGGAAAATTTCCCGAAATTTTCATTGTACTAATGAACTCAAAATCGTTAACTTTTTTTTGTAACTTTTTTAATTCCCGCATTTGCGCAGAAATCTGCTTCCTTCTTCCGGTCTCGTTTGTCATGAGACTTTGAGTGAAATATATAGTTATCAGTCCAGTAAAATATAGGAAGGAACACAATAACAATTTCATTTCTAATTATTCTTTGATATGAAAAAACGTTACCTGATGATAGCGTTTCTTTGTTTACATTGAATATGACGTCATAACTAAAATAACGTCACAACTAAAATCCCTAACAACAGAACCAAAATCGGAAACGATACGGTATTTCCGTTTCTTTTTTAAACGATTTAGAACTTAAAATATATTTGAATTAAAAAAAATAATTTATATAGACTTCGTCCCCTTTCACAGGTAATGCCTGCATCATATTAGGTAAAAATGTCAAATATGACTATTATGAGGCTTGCTAAAGGCAGGTAAGACATTTTTTTAACACAAAGACGATTGGAGTGATAAAGTACCTTTAGTTTAGGTGCCTCATTTATACATAGTTGATAATTTCCAGTATAAAATGCAGTTCTTATTTCGAAAAGTTCGTCAACATCGGTGTGTGACATGTTTGCAACGATGATGTGGAAGTCGGAAATGACAGTCTTGGTCTTTTTAGTGCTTTAGAATGAATCAACTTATAACCATATATTGATTTAAATTCTAAATAGACTGCAACGTTCTAAAATTCATCTCCAGACTTTTTTCCTGTCCGTCTTTCAAGGGGCATTTTGGTTTCAAACATTTCTAAAAGCAGAATTATGAAATAATATTTCGCGTTTAGCAGTAAGCAGGGTCTGGATGGGGTTTACAGAATAGAGAGTAATGGGGAAATACTACCTAATAATAAACAAAATAAAACATTAAAGAATAACGGGGTGCTAAAATCAGAGACATATATATCATAGGTGTCTGGCTAAAATATAAAGAATAGAGAATATTGGGTAAAATTAATAAAGAAAAAGAGAATTATAGCTTAAAATTAAAGAATACACAATTGAAAGACCCCCGCCCCAACTCAGACTCTCGGTAAGTTTGGCTCAATTTTGTAAAAATTAACAAACTCAAAAACATCGATGGTCCAAGTCAATAATTCAACTCATTCCGGAATCCGTATTCATGAGAAAGTCTTTTTAACCCTTAACTGGGATGGACTGCACATGGGCTAAGCATGTTTAGCTAAAAAAGAAAAGAATATCAACATTGAAAAGTGAAACAAGGCTGCCACCGGGAAGATCCCTTTCGTTGACTATTTTCTGCTATCAAAAAATCATTTCTATACAAGTTAAACGATGATTTACATTTTGTTTTAAATCTATGACATAAAGTCAAACAGACCTAGAAAAAATCGTCATTATACGATTACACGTGTTTGCCTGTGTATTTATATTCATTTCTATATTTATGTTTACATAAAGTCATATGAACTACCGAAATTTTCAGAGATCTACTCGATAGTTAATTGTGAGCCATAAAAGTGTCCTGTGAAAAAGTGTCCATCTGGACACTTTTTCACAGAAAAGGTATATCTAAATGTGTATGATGCTGTGAAAAAGTGTCCATTCAATCGGACATAATTTCGTGGTAAAATACTATTAAATTCTGTCCTTTAATGGTTGATTTTCAATAAGAGAACACTTTTTCATAGTAAAAAGTGTCCTTTAAAGGGAGATAATAAAAAAGTCACTGAAATGTTTTAGCTATATTTAATTTTCTATTACTAAAACAAACCAATTAAGAACCAGTTATAATTTGATATAAACATAAATGGAAGGTGTTGAATTCCAAAGCATTTTCAATTATCTTAGCTATAAAGATGTGGACAAAAAGTATCCACCAGCCTCAACAATTTTGTGTCAACTAACAATGAGAAAAGAAATATCAGGAGAAAAGCATCCAACTATAAAATAGTTCATATTAAGTTCTATTAAATGTATTACTGTTTTTTGTGTGTACTAGTACATGTTTTACATGTATAATTTATGTTTAATTACACATGGTGATGATCACATTTTGTATGAATTCAATACTCCAGTTTACATGCCATGTTTTAATAGAGACAAAACCCCCATGCTAATTTTAAAACTTTCAATTTAGATAAAGAACTGAAGCTATGTATACATTTTGTAGGTATTGAGAGTGGACACTTTTTCACGTGAAATACTGTCCTTTCTATGAAGGAAACTTTTTCGTATGAAATATTGTCCTTTCTTTGAAGGACACTTTTTCATATGAAATATTGTCCTTTCTTTGAAGGACACTTTTTCACATCTGTGGACTCGATTTCATAGGTAAATATCGTCCTGACGATATTTCATAATAACATTGTGTCCGTGGACACAATTTACTGTGAAAAAGTGTCCGGTAGACAGAATTTCATGGCGGACAATATTTAATCCTACATAATTGTATGGCGTCTATTTTGAAATACACACCAAATGTTGATACATTCGAGTTCATGAATTGTAAATTGTTTCTTTAGTGCTTTTTGTAATTTTGATATTTTTGAATGAAGAGTGTTAACTTATTCACGTTTGTTTTGGTTTGTCTTCAGTATTGCTGTATATTCTTTAAAATACCACAGATATATAAAGAACTATTTGACTCTGGAAATGATTTCACACGTCCCATGACATTTTTATGTTAACTACGGTAAACAAGCCGTAAATACCACAATGATCCGGCATTGATTTATGTTTAGTCAACATTGTTTATTTCCGAAAATATCAAGTTGCGAAAACAAGACGATTTCACCACTGATTCACCAGAAAACCATGTTGTTTTACTTAAAAGCATGCATACACTAGAACCGAAAGTCAGCATAAAGTTTGAAATGATATATGCCAAGATGAAAAATGTAAAAGACCAATGCTTAAATGTATGAACCATATTTTCTGTGATATTTTTGCGGGTTGGGACCAATCCCCCCAAAACAGGTCAGGAATAACCATTAATTGGTGGGTTATAATTTATACCTCAATTCAGGTATAATCCACCATTTGACATATAATGGGATACACCAGATTGAGGTATAATGCAGTTTTTATCAAAAAAAAAAATTTTGAGATATCTTGGAGCATCTTTTTGCATTTACCATAACAAGCTTTGATGACCACTTAGTGATGACATGTAATTGATTCTGGCACTTCATGCTGTATTTTTTTTAGAGAAACCTTATTACTAAAATGACCCTCCTTTTCCTACTATAAATTCTGAGTTTTCATCTATTATATATTATTTTTGTTCTGTAGTCTCTTCCTATCCATTTCGACTAACAAATCTCAAAGTTGGAACTGATGCAGACTTAAGGAAACCAATTGTTAAAACCCATCAATTGGTGGATTATACCACATATTGAAGTATAATACACATTTTTCAAAACACAGCACAGGAAGTGAGAAGCAATTACATGTCACTAATGAGTACTCATCAAAGCTTAAGATGGTATATGCAAAATGATGCTCGCATGTCTCTTTAAAAAAAATTATGATAAAAACTGCATTATACCTCAATTGGTCTATCTCACCATATGTCAAATGGTGGATTATACCTCAATTGAGGTATAATCCTTCAATTAATGGTTATTCCTGACCTGCAAAATATGGGTTATAATAATCCATTTCGGGTATTACAACATGTAATTTCATCCCCTTACTTAATATTTCATGCATAAAATATCAAGAAATAAATTGGGAAAGTGTATAAAAAAAAATGCAAGTTATACACTGTTCACACTAGGGACTATATTCGTAGACAACGAAAACCAAAGGACGATAACTGTGTCCTTGGACCATATAAATTTATTATGCAAAAAAGTGCAAAAAATCATATTTTTTTAAAATTAGCAACAATATTGAACAGTGTTTTTGTTTTGGTCAAAAGTGATAGTATCGACTTTTCTAATCCCCTTTGGGATTCATTGTCCAGAGCATATTTCTGACGTGGCCACCCACTGATAATTGTGCAGAATACAGTATCTCAAAAGGGTTATGACTTCTTCAGAAAATGAATAAGTTGCTACATTTGTAGATTCATTCCTTTGAAAAACAGCGTCTTCTAAGTATTCAAAATCATAAATATTCCTGTATACAGAAAAATTGTGAACCAAAAGTTGTTGCCCTTTATTTAAGCATTTGTAAAACTTCCCATCAAATCCCAAAAAAATTTTTGGGAACAATAAACTTATATCCAATTTCAGGAATTATAAACAAACAGGATATTATTAACCATTTTGGTGAATGGTGTCCCTACCCAAGGATCTATACAAATCCTTGCCCTACCTGATTTATTTTTGTATTGCCAAACCATCTTATTTATTTACTTTATGGTTAATCAATTATCTGAGTTTGGTTAATTGTAATTTTTGTGCAACCTGATGCTAACTTTGATTTTGTTTATTCTCATTTAAAATTCTCTTAATTCATTGTGTTAATCCAAAAAAATCATGATGATAGACATTCGTTTTTCTCAAATTTAGGGATAAAATTATATTTTGCTCATTTTGTAGCAACCTACAAGCTCCTCCATTTTTGAAATATTTCATCCATGAGAGGCTTTTGTAAATTTAGATTATTGAGCAAAACATACTAGAAAAATTAACTTTTTAACAAATTCAACATTGCTTTTATTCAATGTTGAACTAAAAAATGCCAATTATTTTTGTGTAAAGAGACACACTATTTGAAATTCTCTTCAAATTCCTAATAGAATTACAGATTCCTAAACATATGTATTACAAATGTATAATAGAAATTGATTAACTTACTTAAATCTATAAAAATGGTTGACTACAAATAAGAAGATGTGGTATGAGTGCCAATGAAACAACTATCCATCCAAGTGCCAATGAAACAACTATCCATCCAAGTCACAATGTGTAAAAAGTAAACAATTATAGGTCAAAGCACGCCATCAACACGGAGCCTTGGCTCACACCAAACAGCAAACTATAAAGGGCCCCAAAAAAGACTTAGTGTAAAACAATTCAAACAGGAAAACCAACGGTCTAATCTATGTAAAAAACGAGAAAAGAGAAACACTTATGAACCACACCAACAAACGACAACCACTGAACAACAGGCTCCTTACTTAGGACAGGTGCATAAAAATGCAGCGGGTTTAAATGTTTTAAAAGGCGCCAACCTTCACCCTAACCTGAAACAGTGGTATAACATTACAACATAAAACAACACACAATAAAATATTAATTGAAATGGCTTAACTAGATCAAAAAGACAATACACAAAAACAAGTAAATATACACTGAACGAATAAGTTTGATCTATGACTCAATATAAATAAAAAAGATGTTTCAATGTCAAAAAGACAACTTTAACCTAGGACAAAATGGAGTTAAATAAAGAAATGTACATAGGTAAATTTAAATATAATAATTTGGTTCTTAGGAGTACAGAATCATTTTTTACAAAATAAATTTGTTATTCATGGTACGAGTACAGAAGTGAAATTTTTTTTCGTCATACTAAATACTTATCAAAGGTGGTACGTATTAAAAATAGTAAGACGAGATATAACACAAAATAGGTAAATGTTGAATAACAGAAATGCATTACAAATTATGTCAACAGGTCAAATTAACACGAAAGTTCGATTTGAGAGTACTCACAGTTACTGAAAGCTAATTAAAAGCCAAAAACAATTAATAATAAAAAATCATGCATCAGAGACTAAAATCTATTAAAATACATCCCAGGCAGGGATTTAGTGTTTTAACGCCATGGACAGTCAAAGAAGACATGACTTGTGCAATGCCAAAATAGGATTCAACCTTATAATAAGCTTTTTATGTTTTTAACCCAAAGAATTAACTTGATAAATATTTTTTTTCATTAAAAGCTTTCTTTCTGTTAAAATGTTCAACTCTAGAAGTTAAAAAGAAAATGGATGTGTTTTGAATTATCAAATCATTTCTATTTTAAAGACCTGCCATTTAAAGGGAAACAAATCCATTGTTTATTTAAATAATTATCAGATATTCTCCCTGATTGTTCACCATTTTTCTATGTAATTTTACATGTTGTCCATATTTAATAGCTTATAATTGTGTTAAAAATATTCATAAAACAAAACCATTTATCACAAGCAGTTAACTCAAATCACACACACACTGCTCTAGCATAAACAAAAGGATAATAGATGGTAAGTTAACAAATCTATCTTGGATAAAATGAAAAAGACATTTGCATTTGCCATCACCACAGAAAAGGGCATGTCACATGACACATCAGAAGATCGGGCATGATGCTATGTTGTGCTTTAAACCCCCCCCCCCCCATTGAAATCCTGAGAAGTTGGCAGGTTTGTGTGTAGATATTATTTTTTTACTTCCATATATCCCCTGTATGTAGAGTTGCCATCTATAACTCATTAGGTGCACATCATTTTCTATATATTATTTTACTTGTGTACTCCTCCGCCATTATAAATCGTTTCTCAAATACTTCAGGTTATTATTGCAAGTCATAACCCTTGACTTTTCTTGCTGACGAGAGAACAATGAGTCAACCGAAATCAATGAAGTTGCCGACTGCAAGGATGCCACCAGTGAAGGCAATGCTTGAGAAAGGAATCCCAGGCTTGACGACACTTGATGCTATTATAACAGACTTGGATCAACAGTTAGAGGCAAAGAATAAACAGTAAGACAATAAAACTATGACTTCATTGTAATTTGTTTTTCTAGAAAATTTACACACAACTCTTTTCGTACAGCAATTTGCAATGAAGGTGTTGGGTATATTTCAAAGAGGCAGTAACCTAATGTTACAAAAAATTGAGGTAAAAACATATTTTGCTTCCCAATTGATATGGTTGTTTAACCTGCATAATAACATTGAAAATAAAGTTAAAAGCATGTTTACCTTAATAAAAAGAAATGTTTCCATGACAAGATATGTAGAATTAAACTGGATTAAGAAATGATAAATATCAGGATTTTTTTTACCAATTTTTTCTTCATATTAATCTCTTTCAAGTTGGTGGTGAGTCTGGTGACAGAGAAGTTGTATTATAATTTTGTTTTTTTTTATATTTTTTGATATTGTAATTTTTCAAAGTGTACTTTAGCCTCCCTAGCACAGGATGTTGACAATTTAGGTGTATTTAATGATTAGTTTGCTTTATTAATCAGTTGCCTGAAATTTTCATTTTCCTTACAATACAAAAAATGTAATTTTTCAATTCAAAACAAATCTGATACAAATGGGAGACAATTTTAATTACACGAAAAGATGGAACTGTTTCATGTGTTTGGATAATTGCAAATTATACAAAATGTACATTATAGCAAATAAAACAGTTGGTACTGAAATATTAATTGAAATTAAAGATAAAATCTGTAACATGGTAAAATGCATTTCCTTTTATAAACAGAATGGCAGACTGTCTGAAAGGTATTGTGAAGACATGTAACGACATGCCAGGCAACAAGCAGTCAGACAACCCTAAAGATTGTATTACCTATATGTTAGATTCACACTTACTGGAGAAAGATTCCTGTTATGATCCAGAGTCTGATGATATAAATACAATCTTAAGTCATGTGGTAAGTATTTAATATAAGTTTTCTCCAGATGTGTAACACACAACTAAATGTTTTTTTTTGGGGGGAAAAGGGAGACAACACTTATTTAACCTGATTGAAGTATAGATCCTGTGGCCACACAAGGATCTGAAAATGCTCCGTTCTACTTTCTGTTTTAATGACCTTTCTGGATCCTCTGGTTTTGTTGTAATGATACACACCTTAAAATATTTGTAATCATGAATTTCATTGGATGATGTAATAAATACCAGAACAGAAAGTAAAAGTGTTTGTTGTCAGATCCTTATAAATAAGCAAAGCATGGTCACAGGATCTGCATTTTTATCTAATTGACACTTATCCAAAAAAAAAAGTTTCATTGCCCAGTAGAAATGCATTATATATGAAATGAACAGATGTGGTATTGACTTCATAGAGATAGCAACCCAACGACATAAATAACCAAAAGCCATCTAGCGTTTGTATGGAAGGTAAATCTGATAAAAAATTGAAATTCTTGTCAAGAAATCTACCGGTATATGATAAAAATTTACTCAGTTTAGATATCTTCCATGACCATTTTCAGGGGGGCCTCCGTCGGTGGGTGAGTGGTCTAAGTAATTCAACTACTGTATCACTAGCCGCTCAACACTCAGGTTCTGAGTTATAATCCAGCACGTGGCAGGTGCTTTTGACACCTATCTTAATTGACTATGATTGTCAGTTTTCCTGCAGAAGGTCTGGTTTTCTTGAGACACTCTGGCTTCCTTCATTGATCAAAATAGCCAATAGTGCTGAAAGTGGCAATAAACACCAAGCAATTAATCTATCGATTACCATCTTCAGTAAAGGGCAGTACATGTAATTAATATACATTGTGTACATTTTGATTATGAACTTTTTATTCGTTGATTTACCCGGTAATGGAAGAAGATGAGTCATTTAGATTTACTCAGACTTGGTATTTTTCACTGTATCTGCATGTTTGACTCTTTATGATCTGATTACAATGAACTAATTATTCATTTATGTGCTTCAAAGTGAGACATTATTGTTTGAAGTTCCTCAAACCTTTCAATATTATGTATATTTTATTGATAAATGAAAAGAATGATTTAGTCTGATCATTTTTGTGCTGAAATATCATTTGTGATGTCATTTTGATATCATAAACCTTTGACCTTATATGGTAATTTTCTACATTGTTTTTGGTAAATCAACGGTGAGCAACAGCCTTACCAAAGAAAATGTTTACTAACATCAACATCTTTGCATCAATTATCTTGTAATAAAACATCTTTTTGGGTAAAACAGTGGCTCCTACATGTATCTATAAAATGTTATGAAAAGATCTCTAAATAAGACTCTTTTCCAATTTTCTTTCAATGAAAAAAAATTGATGGGATTAAAGTAAAGATGCATTGAAGACAACATTCAAAAATTTGAATTCAGATATTTAGCTGGCTAATGTCTTGTGAACATCTGAAGTAAATTAAAAAAAAAATCTACTAAAAAGTGCAAAAATGACCTCATCATATTCTTCTTTTACATGTCTGTTTATGTTACATATATGGTAAACCTATAGTATTTATATATATCTAAAGGTAAGAAAGTATGATGTACCCCAGCACATTAAATTATTTTGATTTTTATTTTATCATATTTTCCAGTCCAGTACTCTTCAACAAACACCAGGAAGTGAAGAGATAATCTTCCAGGATTTATTATCCCTGTCATCTTGTCAGGGGCTGACATTACCACTAAAATCGTCCAATAAAGATCCTCTACAATCCATGACATCACTGAACACTGTCACCGATAGTGTTGAACAGCAAGTGTCGGAAGAATGGGAACACATAGCTCGGCGCTTCCAGCAATATTTTCAACATTCCTTAGAAAATATACCAGTCAGTGCAAAACCATTAAGTATAGATTTATATGAGAAAAAGCGGGTGAACCATTTACAGAGTCTGTCTGTTTTATTTCCTACAGAAGATGTACTAGTGAAATATCAGACACTGAGGTCACTACAACTTGATCAGTGTTTTCAAAATTTACTTGCTGGCGTTAATGCTGATAATTTCAGTTCCATTGATGTGACGAAGAATTGCTGCTACTTAGCAGACATCATATTGAAAATGATCAAGGAAGATTTCATTGTTTTCAATTCTGGAGTTTTCAAAAGGTCTTTTAACATTGCTCGAGCCATGCATGATATGTATTTGGAGAAATATTCAGATGAAATGTCAGCCCTTGTAGAGGACATTTGGGAAGACATCGAAGAAATTATGAATAAGAAGTCGTCAAAAAATAGTAGCAAAGCCAAGCTTTCTGTCAGAAATGTGAGCAGCGATTCTCTGCCATCAACTAAAAGCTTTAGCAGTATAACAGCAGCTATGGACAAACTACCTCGAGACTATATAGCTTCTATTGTAAATGTAGTCAACTCAATACTTTACATAGAGGAACACGTTGAAAAGTTAATACAGACATCGGCATGGGATTCATCAGGGTTACCTAGTAGGAAGATTAAAAGGAAAGGAAGCTTAAAAGGTAAACAAATACAGTCACATGACAGTTAACAGGGAAATATTCTTGGTTGTTTTATATATAATTTATATATAATTGCTTCCCATACTCTTGAAAACATGATAGAATTGAAATCACAGTGAATATGAATAGGTTATAAAAATGTCTAATTAATTTGATGACTTTATCTAAAGTGCTTGTATGCAAATTTTACAGGTGTATTAAAAACCAGTTCTAGTCCAGAGCCACCCAGAAGACCAATGAGTTATACAGGTACTGGTCTAGAGGACTTTACTGATAGTCTGAACTCATCATTTGGGTCTTATCCTGGATTGTCAGATAATACTCCAGCACCAAAAGGTTTGTTTATTGGAATGTGTACCGGTATTGAAATGATACAAGAATTTTGTCTGATTGGAATCTTAAACTTGCAAATAGATGCTTTTGACTGACCATTTTGACAAAGTTATATATTGACCGTTGAGATCACTTTAAAATTACAAGTAGTAGCTTTTGAGGGACTATTTTGATAAAGTTATATATTGACAGTTGAGATCACTTTAAAATATATATATAACAAGACAAAAAAAGGTTAAGGGAAAATAGTGTGTCTATAAATTAATGAATGATAAATATACTTTTATTAGAATTAGTGAGTTATCTCCCATGTACCACTACACATTTTGCATCTAAAAGGGTAATACCACCATGGTTTTTTCCCTATTAGTCTTTGTTAATTTGGCATTTTTAAATAAAAATGTGAAGAATTTATCTTTGTTTCAAATAAAAAAATGAGTAAAGTTTTATCCTGTCAAGTACTACAGTAAAAATTTACATAACATTTCATTGCAAAGAAGATAATAACCATCACCGAAAGTAAACCAATCAAATTTTCACCCCTTTTCTTTTTTTGTTGTATACAAGCTTTAGTTATGATGTCACTTCAAGTTTCCAAAATATTCTATAGAAACACCCAAGATATATGTTTATGACTCAGAAAACTTTGTCTGCAATGAAAGGCAGGGTTAATTTCCTAAAACTGTCAAATTCAATGGAATATTTATTTTTCAACCCAATGCATGAAACCGGATGCGACCTACTATGTTTTGGTGGTATAACCTAAACATTATTGACATGATTGATGACAATCTTACTGTACTTACTTGTTTTCTGTCATTTCAGAGACTTACACAAATGTTTATTTTATGCCATTCTCTGACAATCAAAATATATTTAAATGAATTTTACTTATAAGTAATATGTTGTTTGTAAAATTATTGGTAGTTGTATCATATGTATCTAAAAGACATAAAGGTAACAAATGTGTAATTCACAATCACTTTATAAATGGCTTTGTCTAATAGCTGTATTGGGCATTGGAGTTTTTATTGGGACCTGTACCTGACTAATTTCCAAGACTCACGTCAACTGTTTTTTTGTTTTACTATCTGTTATTTTTCTTCTCAGAATACTCATGTCTTGATATGTCCCTTCTTTCTTTGCATTTATTTCACAATACGTAAAATCAGTATGAAGCAATATATATATATTAAGCATGACGTCAATATGGAAATGCCACATGCACCACTGGTGTCAACGTGATGATCGTAACTGCAATTACGATCATCGAAATTTTATATGGCCGATTTCTCCACTTTAACAGCTTGTATTTAGATATGTTTTATGTCAATAAAAATCTTTATAAGCATTGCCGTTGAATGTACTTTTCTAAAATGATGGAAAAACACCCAGAAGAAGGAAAATCGCTATACAAAAAAACACGATGATGATCGTAACTCAGACTTGTTATTATATAAAGATGATCGTAACTCACAATTTACGATATGTTTCTTCTTTAAATGAGCATTCTATTTAGAAGTCACAATATATTGGTATAACTGAAAACAGTATGATTTTGAAACTGAACAAAATGAGCACTGCAATTTGTCAAAACGAAATGACAAAAGGGGGAATTGACAGGCTTATTTGCAAATGTCATCAATATTTTTTTCTTATGAGTAATTTAGTTAAAATTCAAAATAGAATACGTTTGTATGAAGTAAATATAAATTTCATCCTCATGATACAGTTTAAGATTGCAGGCAAAAACTTTCACTGGACATTTTAGAAATAAGTAATGTTAGGCATTAAGCTACATTATTTTGATGTGTTCACCTCGGTTTTAGCTTGTTGTCTGGTTTTGTATTTTCTTAATCAAACTATGACTATTAAACATTGGTAGACTACAGAGGCAGATTTAGAGGGAGGGCCAGGGTCCCCGCCCTTTTGTGAGAAAAAACTTGGATGATTATATAGGGAATCACTAAAGCATGACTGGAGCGGGGCCCCTCTTAGGCAGTCAGTGCCCCCTCCTTTATGAACATTTCTGGATCCGCCGCTGTTGCCTATATTTATCACGGGTAGGCTATTTATGTAATGAAGGAAAAGCTGAAATAAATGGTATATACGTTCATATTAGTTTCCAGGTTTTTCAAACTTTAAATCCTTACACTTACTGTTATATGACATGTGTTATTGTAGTAAGTCGAAAGAAGTTGTTTTAGCCAAAAATATCAATGAATTATTTTATCGAAGGTTTCAATTTCTTTTTCATTCAACAGATATGGTTACACTTCTTAATGCTATATTTTCCAACCTCTATTTTATTGGTGCTTTCAATCTTTTTTTCATTCAGCAGATATGGTTACACTTCTTAATCCTATATCAGTCCGAAATTCCCCTAAAAATATCAGGTTCTCGAAAGGTAATATTATTCCTACAAAGTGTTCCATTGAAAAAAAATCTAAAATTTTACCAAACTGGTCATTAATATGAAATCTCCAATACCTTATTTATATAAGATATATGAAATCATTATAAAGTTATTTACCCCAATGCAATTTGATATAGAACTAGATAAAAAAAAAAAGTATGAAATCTCGCAAAATCATAACCATTAGTGTGCGCTTACCCGTATACCAACCAATAGGATGTTGCCCTCCCCTACAGTAATCGTCTCTCATTATTATCACAATATAAGCTGATTATGTACACTTTTTCGCATACCATACAGCTCTATTTATTAGAAAATGCTTTGTTGGAACAGACAGTTACGATCATCTTAAGTAAAAAATATGATCATCGTTGATGAAAATAAATAAAAGTTACAATCATCATCGTGTTTTTTTGTATCTCGATTTTCGTTCTTCTTGTTGCTTTTCCATCATGAAGGAAAAAACCGTTGATGGCAATACTTATAAATTTGTTTCTTGACATAATGCGAATATGAAAATAAGCTGCTAAAATGGAGAAATTGGCCTTATAAAATTTCCCTAAATTTGTGTCCGCCATATTGGGATGATCGTAATTGCAGTTACGATCATCACGTTGACACCAGTGATGCACCTTTAGGGACATAGTTTTTCTGTCTGTACCAAACATGTTAATAATTGTTATTCAATAGACCATTTTCCCAAAAGTTTTCATACATGGTAGAATTTATTCTCTAGACCACAATAATCTACCGTGATTTTTTCTGCATTTTGGAAGACTTCTAAGACTATTAATATTTTTGGCCATATGACCCTTAAAGCCAAAGAAAGAACAGATTGACCTAATTTTGTAGCCTTGTACGAATGTATACTTGACACCGAGTATGTTGGATTGATAAGAACGGTCAGATGGAATACTTTTAAAATGATTGTGTTTCAATTTTAAAGAATGGGGCAAATGTAGAGCAAAGACTTTAACACAATAATTACATGTATGTTGTTCATTTGTAAATATATAGATATAAGAAGATATACACTGTACCAAGGAGAATATCAATGGCAACAATAGCTATCTTATCCCTCAGAGAGATCAAGTTCTTTGATTATAAACAGTAACACAATTTTTTTTGAATACTCAGTATCAATCCACTACTATTTCTTATTTTATAGTTGTGGAAAAATCCAGAGAAGAAAGACTTCGTTGGGAATGGAAGTTAATGTTTAAAAAGATAGGTCATGACCTTGCTCAGTTTGTCAATAATCAAATACGCAATCAGTTTAAAGTTTCATTGGATAAAGAACTGGCTGACTGGACAAATCTTCATGTCCTAGTTACTAAACCTGTCAAAGAAGAGTTGTGGGGAGGAAAACTGGATTATCCCAAATTTGTTACCAAGGTTAGGAATATTTATTAGACCAAAAAGAGATGTTTACTATTTACTGGAATATTACTTCATAATACTTAATAATATGTTTATGAAATATGAATACCGTTATATTATTATACTAAATTGACATACTAAGTCAGATTTTTAAATTGCTAGACCACAATGCAACAGTCTGCAGAATAACATTTCAGTCTATTTAAGAAATGACTGTAATATTTTTCTGTCTATGAAGAAATAACATAAAAAATGTGGTGCACACTGAATAACTCGCGTAGGCTATTCCTTATGATTTAATTCTAAAAAGTAGTAAATCATGATAAAAACGTTGATGACGTCATGGTCACATGACAAAATTATGTCTATGAGCTGATAGACACAACACTTTCAGCCAATCAGAAGACGTGTTACATCCAAAATTAAATTATTTGGAGATATTATTCACTGTATTTATATGCAGTCTGCTTCAAGCCTTATGAAGCAAGATATTTCACCTGAGCAAGATTGATTTTAATTTTGCCTACACACTTTAACTAGCTCTAGATTTAATTGAAATTGAACTCACTAGTTACAAGAAAATTGGTCAACAGTAGTATGTAAAAAAAGAGTTATGTTGCAAAGTGTACTTAAAAGATTTCAATTATTATGCTGATTATAGTTGATTACATTCGACATCTGCAAAATTAGTACCTGTATATGAGTAATTATTGAAGTTTGAGGAACAGGTTTTATTTATTGTAAAAAAGGTGGAAGATATCAAAATTTAAGCAAACATATAAATAAGATGTGGTATGAGTGCCAATGAGACAACTCTCCATCCAAGTCACAATGTGTAAAAAGTAAACAATTATAGGTCAAAGTACGGCCTTCAACACGGAGCCTAGGCTGACACTGAACAGCAAAGCTATTAAGGGCCCCAAAATGACTAGTGTAAAACAATAGACCACTTTCGAGTTATGTCCTTCACCGGAAAAGTTCTTCCATTTTGTGCGCCTTTGTGACGTCATTTACCAGATAGAGGGGATCGCCTGTATCCATGCTCTATTAAAGTTTGCCAAGCGTCTTTGTGATCGTCATTATGCAGGATAAACTAGAAATAATATTTGTTCCTTAAGTACTTAATCACAATTCCCTAATGATAGCAGTGCTGAATATCAATTATAAAAATTTAATTTGCCAAATAATTCGTGCAATATAGCATTATCATTTTTTCAACCAATTGCTAAACATAGGAACGGAAGTGACTATGCCCCTAAACGCACGAATGATGTTCACTAAAACCAAAGTTTTTGACAGAAGTGCAAAGAACTCGAAAGTTGTCTATTCAAACAGGAAAATCAACGGTCTAATCTATATAAAAAATGAGAAACCAGAAACACTTATGAACCACATCAAGTGACATCAACAAACTACAACCACTGAACAACAGGCTCCTGACTTAGGACAGGTGCATACAAATGCAGAGTGTTTAAACGTTTAAATGCGGCAACCTTCTCCCTAACCTGAAACAGTAGTGTAACATAACAATATAAAAAGTATGTATATATTTTCTGCACAAGATCTATTTTCATACCACAAAAACTTTAAAGTGAGGGAAAATAATCACAGTTTTGTATACATAACAAGCCACAAATAAGTGATTTTACTCTTAATGTTTAAAGCATGCCAAATATTGTTATAATAATAGAGACTGTTTACATTGCAGGCTGTGTTAGATTTTATGAATGAATTGGACTTCTTGTTACCCTTCGCTAAAGCAGGTTATGATGGTGCACTGCATTCTGTTAGAACAGCCTATGTTGATTCAGTTTGTTTATGTTTACAGAACTTACATGTTCATTTGACAAAGGTACCTCACTCAAGTTTAAACATATTTTTTTTTCAATACCATATAAAGGGAAATTTATGCAGCAGATATTTTACCACAAAATTTTCCCTACAACATTTCACTTTCATTTAATTCATTTTCAAGGCCCAAACTGTGAACAAAATAGAACGTAAAAGAACAATTGAATAGCATTCAAGAATATACATGAAGTTCGATAAATTTAAAATTTAATAAAAAATTAGTGATGAAATATATTTGAAGAAGTTATTTAACAAAAACATAACTTAATTTAAGTCTTCCATACAGAAACATTATGCAGAAAACCTAGCTAAGTCAAAATGAATCCCCTTTTCTATCTATAGAGTTTACACTATTCATTGTTTAGAAATCTTATCTTGTAACTTAATGTTATTTTAACAGTTATGCAGTGACATTCCTAGAAATGCTCCAATGAAAAGCCTGTATGCTATTCTGTCCAGTGCAGCTTATGTCAGAAATCAGTTAAATTATTATGAGACAGTTTTGGTCCCAGAAGAAAGCAGGTATGTGTATGAATAGTCTAGTTATCTCCCTTGTTATCAAGTTCTTATTATTTCCTATAATCCAAGGATTAGTTTTCAGTAGGACTATTTTGATCTGTCTATAGTTGAAGACAACATGCTGACCTGTAGATGTCTTTTGGTTATTTGGGTAGTTGGGATGGTGTCTTCTATTATTCATGTCCTTAAGCATTAGAAATTAAAACACCTCTGAACTAAATCAGAGTAAACTTACCTATGTCCCAGTATGAATGATAATAGATGGATCAAAAAAGGTAGAGTCCACCTTATGACCACAAATTATGCTTTTTTAGTACATTTTTCTCATTTTTTACCGCCCCCCCTTTTGAAAATTATGAATCTACCACTGAATAATTATTCTTTAGTGCTATCTAAGCTTTAAAAAAACATGAAAGATACTTTTTAAAGTGTAATACATATACACCTATCTGCAAATATTGCTAGCCTATGAGATTGACATTGAAAACAAAATATTCTAGTTGGCCATATGTATCTTATATTTATGTTTGATGATAGCTTTTCTTTTATTCCAGTAAGAAGATATTTGCAGAACCCCATAAGAAGTTTGTTGAAGTTGTAGATGTTGTCACTAAACTAATGATAGAAATACATAAGAATTATATGGCTACAAGTATACTACATGATGCTGAAAGTTATAACTGGGCAGACATGAAGGACTTCCATGAGGTTATTATATTATACAATGTGAAATATTGTGTAGAAAAAAAAGGTCAATCGGTGGTTATTTCTTACACTGTATAAAGAGGGTAGTCAAGGCTTATTTTTGTATGTGTTTGTTAGTTTTTATTTCATAGGTTATTTTTTTGGTACTGAAGGGCTATTTTTTAATGTCAGAGGGTAGAATGTACCATTCATGCCTAAAAAAAAATGTTGCTGTCTTGAAAAATATACTAGAAGTAGAATCTGAATACCGGGTACATGTAAATAGGATTCAAACAGTGTTCTCCCAAGGGTCTTTTAGCATCATAGGACTATGGTGTTACTGAAATTATTTTTTACTACAATATATTATAAATTATAATTTTAGAGAAACACTGCTATATCATGTCCTGTGGGTTTATTTGAAAATATTGAGGAGAAAACTCAAAGTTTAAAAGGCTGTGTTGCTGTTACAGAAAAATAAGCTTTATTGCTAATTACGCTTGAAATCATATAAAATTTAACTATTTGAAAACCAACCTTTGGTAAAAGTACTGCTATTACCTGTAAAGTACCCTGGTAAACTCCTTTTAATGATATTACATTCTCATTTACTATTTGCATTACAGGGAGAGAGATGTTCATATCCAATACAGATGTGGAATTATCACATGAGAGGTCTTCAGTATGATTTATGGACTATGTGTCCACCGCGACTTGGTCAGAAAATATTTGGTGAAATTTTACAGGAATCATTACAGATATTGGGACAAAGATATGCTCATGCTCAGCCTTCCTATAAACGCATTCCTCAGTTCAGGTATTCTAAAAATAGTTATAGAAATTTCAGAGTTTTCATATTATCGTTAGAGTTTTCATTGTAAGGGTTTTTTCTCGAGAGTCAGCTAAAATACTGGACAAAATGTATCTTTGTGGCAATTTCATACAGTTCAAAATTATATGAGACAATATATATGTATCTTGATTATCAATTTATCAAATAAAATGATATTTTAAATCTTTATTATTGATGTTACTCAGTTGTTTACTTCTGGTGAAGTCCTACTAAAAAGGAACAATGCTTAATATGGTTTATTATATATGTGGTATTAATTACCAATTGGTAGTTAAATCTTATAGCTGAGAAATTTCTAAATCAACAAATGAAAGTTTATTTAGTTCTAATAAATGGAAAATATTTTTTTTTCAAAACCTGAATGTAACAGCTTGTTGGATTTCAAAACTTGCATGACATTTGACTTTTAATTTTGCATGGCTTTTGTTAAGAATATAGAATGCCATGCACCATGTAATTATAATATTTAAATGTTTTTATTTTCAGATGTGATATTATTACTGTTTTGTTGTGTACAGTAGAGATGTTATTTCATTCTTGTCGATCATTGTACCAGATTTTGGACGTAGGTGATTCACATATCCCACACTATAACATACAGAACCTGTGTACTACATTACTATCAACCATGGCTATTGTCAGCTCACCACTGGAAATTCTTTATAGGTAATTCTTACAGGAAAGGTTTTGCATTTTGGCCAGCAAAGGCAAATTTTTACAGTTTAGAGGATATCATGTCCTATAGTATAATACCTTACAACATGTCTGAACTAAATACTGAGTAAACTGGACTTGCATGAATATTTGTGTCAGTATAAATAAAAATAGATGAATAAAAGAGGTAGAGTCCCCATTATAACAAAAAAATTTAAAACACTTTCTTAATGTTTGACTGCTCTTTATGTTTTGAGAACATTGGTCTACCACTGAATAATTATTCTTTAATGTATTCTTTTTATTCCCCCACTGTGATGGAGGGGACATGTTAAAAGTGTTACCCTTGACTGTCGGTCCTAAAAATACAGAAAATTAACACCAAGTTTACAATTTTGGCATATGCTTCTGTTTCACAAAAATAGCATTTAGAAATAAACAAACACGTTAACCTTTCACCAACAGAGAGCAAAAACCCCATTTGTACCTTATCTTCCCGCTAGATTTTCTTCTTCTTTATAGCTAAAAAACTCTTCATTGATGAAAATATGATCCCATAGCTAAATGGTTCCCTATTTATTCTTAAATTGCAAGTTTTCACAGAAATGATTTATTTCATATCTTAATATAGTGCAAACAACATGTGCTTACATGATAAAAATCATCTGTCATGTCTACAACCATTAGGAATGTTATATACAGTCTAACCTCGTTATGTCGAAGTGGAAGGGACTGGACAAAAGTATTCGACTTATCTGAGGTTCAACACATTCGAGGTCGAGTGTGTCTTCATAGATTTGGAATGAATGAAATGTGGCATGCGATTTGTGAAACTAGATATTTTGAACAGTGTGCCTTTTTTTGATATGACACTTTATGAGTGTGTATTCAATCTCCATATTGTTTGTTCCCTCATAAAATTTAAACACACAAGGACAGACACAACACATTCACAAGTAGAATCTAAATACAAATATTTACAAAGGTCAATCCTTTTAATTATGAAATCACTCACGGAACGAATCAAGTTCAGAAAGATTTCTGATGATCGAGGGTCGTCTGCTTTGCATTCAATTATTTTAAATTGATTATAATTGTCTTAATCTTTTTATTTATTGTAATTAATGAATTTTTATTCTAACGATTCATTTAAACTCGGCTTGGGTCATTTAGATTCGTTTTGTTTTTATGTCAGGTAAAATATGTTCAACACAATAAAGCTCCGCTTAGACGATCAACAAAGGTGTTAATTACCGTTAAAAAATAACTGTTATACATACAAGTATGTTTACACAGCTTTAATCTCTTTTGAAAATGATTAGGTTGCATAAGAAATACATCCGATTTGAATTGTTATCATTAAGTCTGCATCTTTAGAAATTTCTTAATTTCAAACTTTGAGACATCATTAATTTAAAAATCAACGGGACTCTACAACTTACTCGATTTAACCGAGTATTCGAATCAACAACTGAGTTCGACACAACGAGGTTCGACTGTAAATTTTTACAACTGTTTGCTCATTTATTGCAAAAAAGTTCATATTGATAATACTGTAAACTAACTTATTTACATGGATACTTTATTTTTGCATTTAGCACTTTCTTACTGCATTCTCTTCAATTTTATTTCACTATTTAAATTTCTATGATGTATTTATATAAGGAAAGGTCTAAGTTTTACACATTCTTGAGATTTATGTTTATGTAATTTTTTCAATTCACAATAGTCTCAAAAAATAAATAATTGTTTTGGTTTACAATAATTATTGCTGTAAAGTTATTGTTTCAAAAATGTCCTCAAAATATTGTTGACAATTACATACTCAATAGTAGTAAATTATACTTTTATGATTTTCCTAACAGAGAATTTAAGAAAGGGTACATGGAAAAGACCCAGAGAGGTGGTCAGTTTTCTCCAGTGGCCAACACAACAGGTACAAATACTGATTGGTTGTCATGGATACAACCAGGAGTTTTCCAGAGAGGATTAAAACAGTAAGTGTCTAGTGGGGGTGCTGATAGTAGTGTAACATACTGAATTGGATAATGCAAAGGGAGGGGGATGTTGTGGTCAATTGGATGGCTTTTTAGAAAGGAAATGCTTAAAATTTTAACCACATTCCTCACCCTACATTTTTATTCAAGAATAGCTTAACATTGTTGGGGAATAATTATTAAGTTACAGGAAAGTTGAACAAATCAAACTTGCTGTGTTTGAAAGACATTTTTGGTTTAACCTTCATCATTAATGTTCAGAACCAAATATTTGACACATAAATGTATTACAAGAGTAGAATTTTACTGATGCAGAGACTTATTTGAAAATGAGAAAGCCACTGCAGTGAATCTTAAGTAATAAAGTAGGTAAACTTCAGTGAAGAAGTAGCATTGAAAAATCGCAATATAGAAAAATGTAATCATTTGACACGCTACTATCTGTAAAACTGCATGTATCACTGCTTTAAAGAACAGACATATGTTTATGTAATCTTATGACATCCAACAATTGAATTGAAAGAGGAGATTTAAAAACCATTAGAATTCATTTGTTGTTTGCTGAATTTAGATTTATAAAATTCATGTACAGTACATGTATTTGTAAAATATGCATTGACTTATCTAGCCAGTTTGGTTATGGAAGAAGAAACTACTCCCCTTCTTTTCAAAAAATTTTCAAGAAGAAAATGATATGTGGAAAATTTGTTAGAATAGGTTTTTGTCTTGGCCCAACAAAATAAAAAAAGGGAGACATAGGCAAGCTGTTTTGGGCCATGGCCATGTCAACAATGTATGACTTTAAGTGGAACCGCTAGTGTTAGGTCAGTGATCTTTGGTATGCAGTTGTATTAGCATTCGCAAATCTCAATCCTATGTTGAATATATTGCCCTGCCCCCTCATCATGGTTTATTGACTTTCAAACTTTTGCATGGTTTACATGTTTTAGTTTGTGTTTAGGTCAGTTTAAATGGAACCACTTATGATAAGTCAATGATATTTGGTATGCAGTTGTATTAGCATTGACATTTCTCATTTTCCACAGAGGTTATTTAGCCCTTCACCTTGGTTCATTGACTTTGAAGGTTTTGCATATTTTAAATGTTAAAGATTTGTCAATTTAATTTCAACCTTTGAATTATTCTATCAAAATTACATAAAGGCGAGACATATCTCTGTATCACAAGTTTATTTGATTCTTTATTTATTTTAAGGTATGATGTAATGCAGACAACCACTGCAGTATACATACAATGTAAATTATTACTTACTCAACCAGAAATAGATTGGGCAATGACACTTCAGGTAAACTAAAAAAAAACTTAATGAATTTCACACTAGAATATAAATATTAACTATTGAATACAAGGCATGGGATTTACAAGTATTGATGTAAAACATATTGATAATTGGCTAATTCAAAGTTGCTAATGCTTAGATTTCAACAATGCTTTTCTTTAATTTGGAATGAAAAAAACTATATGTTTTGTAAAAATTACATAAGGGATGAGGCTACTCCAAATTGAAAACTTGTTCTTTGTTATTTTATGTACAAAAATTGGAGCGTAATTAATTAAAAAAAAAATTTAAATGAACATTTTAGCAAGCAATTCCTGATATGTGGTCAGAGGAAGGCATATTATAGATTCTACAAAACTTGCTTTTAGGAGCAAGAAATAATTTTTCTATATGAAATTTATTTTTATTTTTCCTTCAAATTGTGAGGCGAGGAATTAAAAAAAAAAAAGAAAATTTTTCAAAAATCTGGGTTTCATAATGCCATATTAAGAATATAATATTTATTTTCCAATATGGTAAAAAGTTATTTTGATAAGACCAAATTGTATTTTTTTCATTTTCAGTCATTGGTGATGAAAGATTATACCTTAGCTATCTTAGTTTTGACACAGTGTGTGGCAGGAGAAGATGGACATACAGTGACTGGGTCCTTGGAAAATGTCAAAAAAACATTCCAATGTATGACAAGGGTCTTATCAGAGTGTCCACACTTCCCTGATGCAGTGGCTAAGACAATCCTACCTGTCATTGACAGGTAAGTGCACATGAAAATAAGAAAATTTGGTTTCAAATAAAAAATTACAAAGTTGTATTAAAGGTCAATGGAAAAAGATGAGATCAATTACAGATCACAGTACAACCCTCTACAATCAACAAAACCCTTACCGTATAAAAAGCTATACAAGGACCCAAGATGACCTTAGTAGTTTTTGATTGATAGGTAAAATAAAAGCCATGTTTTCCAGGGCATAACATTTTAAATTATCTGCTTTATAACATTTATCTTTTTGTTAAGTATCTTATATTTTACAAAATGACAACAAATTTATTGGATTACAGTTAACTCTCGTTGTCTCAAACTTGGTTGACTCAAAATTACAGATGAGGCAAAATTTTCATGTGGTCCTGAACTTTTTTCCATAGCAATATATGCATTTCTACTCCTGATGATGATAGCAAAGTAAAATTTTATTCACTATATGTGCATTTCTAAATTTTATTTCTCATCAGCGATTCTCAAAACCAAATAACTCCCTCTAAAAAAGGCCTATCTTCAAAGTAATAATTTCAGTTTTTTGGTTAAAAGAAAAATGTAGCATGTCGGGGAATTTTATGAATGCGATGCTATTCACACAAAATGAAAAAAGTGAAAGACCTTAACTATTATCTATGATCTTGATCTTTTAGATGCAATGACTGGAAAGTATTTGAACCAAAAACAATGCCAGGAAAAGATTTCATTGTAAGTAATAGTAACAGAGAAACTATGTTTTCCATATAACTAAGTTAAGACATTTAAACTTTTTAACTCAAAACAGCTAAATAAGTTGACACAGTTTAATTTGAAAAGATAGCTGCTAGAATAATTATAGAAACAGACCCTTTCCATCCTTATGATCCTTTATTCAAACAATTAAAACTGGAGGACAATTGAACAGAGAATATGATATCAAAAGTTTGTGATGACATTTAAGTGTATCAAAAATGATTCCCCATCATTTCGAACAAGCAAGTTTCATGATGTTTTGGACAGAAATCCATACCCTTGAGAAATGCTGTTCAAGGAAAACTCATAATTCCTAACCCAGAAATCAAATAGTTTTAAAAGAAATCTTTTATGTGTTCTCACAATTAAAGAAAATTTTCACATCTTTGACACTTTTGATTTTAAGTTAAAGTTAAGTTATCCATACTATACTTTACTATCAGATCTCTCACAGGATAAGGATGTAATGCTAACTGTATTGCAAGATTTACATTAACTTTGGATTTTCATTTCAAATTAAGAAACACCATATTATGCATTTATTTAGGGAACAGGGGTATTTATTCATTTGGATGGCAATATTGTAATGTTCAAAATTAAAGATACTCTCTAAAAATACCATGATTTTCAATAAGGTATCGAGGTTGAGGTACATACATGCAGGCCATAATCTTGCCGGCGAAATGACGATTAAAGTCGCCAAAGAATTTTGAAAATCGCTAAATCTCGCTATGAAAATCAGTAAAAGGGAGACAACTTGAGAATTACAAGTCTCCCAAGTAAAAAAAATGGCGACTGACAAGGAAAATCGAGATTTTTGAAACGACCCAGGACTAATACTGTCGACGATCAAATTAAATAAATACAACGGCGACTTTGAACATCCTTGGATATAACATTCAAAACTATTCAAACGGAAAACTGACCGTCTATTAAAGTTATTATTTTACGATGATTTTTATCTGAGGATGTTGCGTAATCACTCAGCTGATTTGTTTTATTTTTATTTATTACAAGTCATTCAAATTGTACTATTCGGTTGGTTAAGGGTGGGAATTAACAGTAAATTCATTATATTCATTGAATAAAAATTGAAATACAAAAGGTAGAAAGACAGCTGATGGATAATGTGATTGCAAATGTACGACACTCGACCAGCTGTGATCAGCAGTGGATTTTTTTTTTTCATGACAATTTTGTTGATAGGGAAGATATCTTTAAAAAATGATAGAAATTAGCTCTTTATCGGTTAATTAATATGTGATTGACAGATATTTTCATTTATAGGCTTACAATATCTAACGAGAATCTCAATTTACAACTACATGTAACATGATGTCCTGGACATTCAATAATGTTTTACAAAATAATGACAAGTGGTGATATAAATTAAATTCCCAGTCATGTGAAATTCATCAGGTAAACTGGGAGTCATATTTTTCTGGACATTTAAAAATAAATTGAGGCAGATGCACATGAATTTAATGCATCATAATATTACTAGGCTACTACCTCATGTCACAAGTAACAAATTTTATTTAAACTTAAATTCAAGTTGACAGTACAAATGGTATCAATGAATGAATAACAACTATATTGTCTAAACCGTTTTATTAAGAACTTTCTATATATACATTTTGTACAATAACATGAAAAAAATGCAAGTATATTTTTTATTGCATATAAAACAATTTCCTTAGTGATAAGCACGAGAACACTATGCAACCGAAACGGTAATGGAATCTCACTTCTCCAAGAAACTGACCACTTCTCCCTTCTCTCTCATGGAAGGAGAAGTCACTTCTCCCTCTCCAAAATCCTAGATTAGGCCCTGCATACATGTAGTGTAAAAATTTACTTATGGAACTACACATTTTCTGTTGACACATATTGATAATTTGTATTCAGTAACAAATAACTGGTGCTTATTAATCTATCTCCTTAATTGTTTTGATTCAGACATGATTTTGATTCAATAGTTTGTTTTTTTTTGACAGATTCCCGTGTGGATGGAGTCATTGTTTGAATTAATGGAACCATTTGTATTGAGGTATGTGTGTTGAAAGCTGTCTTAAGACTTTTCATATCAAAATCTTGATATTAAAACAAAAAATCATAGAATAGTTGACTTCCAAAGGAGGGGGAAATACAGGTTAAGTTCTGTCCATAACACATTTCTGTCGCATTTTTCCTCGGCAACTACAAATCAGAGCTCTATATGATTTTTACAAAGCTTCATATTGGTAAGCTATACTTTGTGACACATTTTGTAGTTCTGTCACTTATCTACTTCTTGCTTGTTATACGGCCACAAAAAATTTGCGTTTGTATAATGGTATCATGTCGGCGTCGTCGTCTTCCGAAGACATTTGGTTTCTGGACAATAACTTTCGTTTAAGTGTATGGATCTCTTTGAAATTTAAACAAAAGGTTCAATACCACACGTAAAAGGTTGGGATTCATATCATATAACCAATTTCAAGTTCTTTGACTACATTTATTCTGTGTCAGAAACTAAAAGGGGGGGGGGGGGGGGGGGGTTTGTTGTTGTTGTTGTTGGTGGGGGGTCAATTAGCAACAGCATAGTGTATTGCACAAAAGCAAAAAATTGAATATAAATTCAAATCATATAACCAATTCTAAGTTCTTTGACTACAGTTATTAGGTGTCAGAAACCTATTATGTGTCAAATATTTAATTACAATCCAAATTCAGACCTGTATCAAGCGCGAATATTGTGTCCATTTTTGCCCCAACTGTTCAGGGTTGGACCTCTGCGGTCGTATCCGGCTGTGCTCGGCGAAGCAGATTATTGTTTATTGCATACATATAAAAATAGGAGATGTGATATGATTTCCAATGAGAAAATTGTCTAACAGTGTACAAATGAAGCAGATTTAAGCAGCTTTGGGTCTCTGTATGGCCTTCAACAATGAGCATACCCATATTGTACTATCAGCTATAAAGGTCATGCCAAAATGTGAAATAATTTATGTATGTTCTTCACATTGAGATACATTTCCATTCACTCGATAGCAAGAGTGCAAACTTCATCTTGTTGCCAATTAGGCAAGCAATTCATTGGCTTATGATAAATGTTATGCTGTTATAACATATTAGGCATTACAGTCAACCAATATAAGAATATATTTTATGAGAGAAACATCCCAGGCTAGTTTAATGACCAAGAATTGAGTTTACTAATGTTATAACATTTTATGTTTTTCCTGACAGAGTCTTGCAGCCATTGTTGGAACATATTTTAATAGAAACCCATCCGAAACCAAACATTCGACCAATAATGTCAGTAATAGCTGATCTTCCTTGTGGCTGTCAACCCCATACAACTACTACCTCAAAGCCAAAGAAAGGAGATGGTATGTAAAAACAAATAGTTAATGTGAGACTTTAAGAAACAATAATTTTATGAGAAAATTATTTACTTATTTAAAAAGACTGAAAATAAATTGTGAATTATATATACATGAAAATGTTTTCATTCAATCAAATATTTGTATCCAAGAAATATTATTAATCAATTTAGTTTAATGTATCAAAGTGGACTTTTGTTTTACAAAAATATTACAAAATGTGTTTAATAGGAAAAGAATTACTATTATTGACCCTTTACTTTCAATACAAAGCATTACCAAGTTCCTTGCAAGATGGAATAGCTTTACTGGAGCTGAAAGATTTTGCATCCCCATGTTGATATACTGCAGTGTCCTTGTCAGTCCATTGATCAGTTAAATATTACTCAACATATGTATAAATGAATTATTTGATATTTGATCATGTACTTTAAAACATTAAGTTGTACTGTCATGACTGTGTAGCCCATTTTCAGATCTGCTTGGCAGTCACTTTGTATTTAACAATACTTTGAATATTTATTAAGGTATACCCACTGATCATGGAATTTTTTGTCAATGTCTGAGTGTTCTCCCCACATATTTTATAAAGCATCCTGGTAAACAGGTAATTTTGAAATACCATCTTGTTTCTAGAAATTTAAACATTACATCCATAACACTTTCTAAAAGAAAATTTTTACAGTATGATTCTATGAGGCCTGGTGAGATCACTGAATGTGTTATAATAAGTGGGGTATACTTTGTAAGACATTGCATGCAACTTCTTGTTTTTCTCTATTTTAGCTACAAAAGAGTTGATAGACACCTGTCTGACTTTACTTCTTGGACAAATAACAGAAGATATATTTGTATTACCTACATCTCTTTGTATCTTACTGAAAATGATCCAAGAAAGATGTTCATCTAATGGTATCAAGACACCGCATCAAAGTGCTGGTCTAAAGGTAAGTTCAGAGATTGATATCGATAATCAGTATATAGTCTGAATATTCAAAGTGCTGGTTACAAGATAGGTTTATAGATGTGACTCATGATCACTTTGTGGTATAGGAACATCACATGAAAGTGCTGATTAAAATTAAATGAAGATCTATCGATAGTGAGTAATTGTACCAAAATAATTATTCTAACTGCTAATCTAAAAATATATCTAATATAGAAATTTGTTTACCATCAATGGTCGAAGGAAGCGCATCTAATAGTATCACAACACTGAGTTTGTGTGCTGGTCTAAAGGTAGACCAATATGTATTGTATTCAATACCACATTCAGTCAGCTAAATGCATCAAAACATAAACACTAAAGTGATTATTCAGTAATTTGGTATAGATAGACGGCTGATATACATGAGTGTGTACTTAGAGCATAAAAGTTAGGTTTCCTTGTTCAATCAAGGTTTCAGTTATTCATTTGTTACCTGTCCTATGATTTGATTGGCTATTTAGAGCTATTGCTATTCTTTTAAAAACGTAAAAAAAAAAGGATATAGTGATTTCATTGTCCACTTCACACTCAAGCATTAAAAGTGTAATGAATATCTATAGTTTGTCTCAAAAAATGTGGTTATATGAGGTAATTTACGTATAAATTATTTAAACTTCTAGGTTTTGGCTATGTGTTTGAGGTCTGCTTTGATGGATAAGAACTTCATCGAGAGAACCACAGGAGTATCACCAACTGAGAGTCAAGAGGAACATCTGACAACATTAGCAGAATGTATCTACTATGTACTGGTCAGCACAAAAGGTATAGACAATTCTTTTTTTTACTGTGACTTGACTGTTAGTGTTGCTCTCCACCTATTGTAACTTATTCAAAATTCTGACCAAATTGCAATTTGTTTTATAAAACCAAACTGTTCAACTGGTCAGAAATTTGAACAAACTGCTGTAGAAAACCACAGTCAAGTCCTGAAAGTGCAAGGTGATAAAATAAAGCATAATTACAATCCTATAAGACTTTAATTCCACTTCAATGTTATTATGAAAAATCAGTCTTACAGTTTGTATAGAAATTTTATTGTTATTGTCATGCTAAAGGTGATGGATAGAAATTTTGAATTGCTATAAAAATGTCCAAACTAAGCTTTCATACAATTTTTCTTTCGAAAAGTCTTCTATATTCATAAGAAATCAGCCATCATTTGAATTAAAACATCTTAGTTTCCATGGGAGATAACCTAAAACATTATCCTTTTGAATATAGAAGACTTTTCGAAAGAAAAATTGATTATCAACCATGGAAACTTCCTAACAACGTATTGTAATTTCACACATATTTTACTGAATATAAAATGTTTTAATTCAAATGATGTCTGATTCTTATGAATATAGAAGACTTTTCGAAAGAAAATTGTATGAAAGCTTAGTTTGGACATTTTTATAGCAATTCAAAATTTCTATCCATCACCTTTAGCATGACAATAACAATAAAATTTCTATACAAACTGTTAGACTGATTTTTCATAATAACATTGAAGTGGAATTAAAGTCTTATAGGATTGTAAGTATGCTTTATTTTATCACCTTGCACTTTCAGGACTTGACTGTGGTTTTCTACAGCAGTTTGTTCAAATTTCTGACCAGTTGAACAGTTTGGTTTTATAAAACAAATTGCAATTTGGTCAGAATTTTGAATAAGTTGCAATAGGTGGAGAGCAACACTAACAGTCAAGTCACAGTAATTGTAAAATTATCAACTCACAATAAACTACCTTTTTCCTAATAATTAAGATTTGTTCTAAAAAACAACACTCGTTTATTTAAAGGGGCATTAGCTGTCAATTTCATAAATTCATCTTCACCGATTTGACTCAAATTCTCATATTTGATGATTTATAACATACTAAAACGTAAAAAAAAATACAAAAAGTTTAAAATAAACAATTAACAATGCATGGACTTGATAATTTGTATCAACATTTGGTGTGTATTTTTGTCTAGACGTCATCTAATTAACCATTGAGATGACCTCCGAAGATATCCCGATATAAGCATAAATATAAACATAAACTGATAGCAACCACATGCAATTGGATGTTCTAGGTCTGTTTGATTTCATATTGTAGGTTAAAAAGTATGTTTATCATTGTTTTTACCTGTGTTAGAATGATTTTTTTGTGGATTGAATCAGTCAACCAAATGATTCATCCTTGTTTCACTTTCAATGTTGACATGCTTTTCCTTTTAATAGCTGAATACATGCGTAACCCATTTCCAGCTAAGGGTTAAATTAAAGGTCACATGAATACGAATTCAAAGAGGTCGACTATTATTCACTTGCAAGTGAATAATTCATCAGCGATGTTATTTATCTTATTTTGACAAAATTGAATTAAATTGGCTGCTAAAAGCAAATTAGTATTTCACTATATCACTTTCACAAAAAATATCATATTTTACTTTTTTGTATATCTCATAGCTAATGCCCCTTTAAACAACATCTATTCAATTTATTTTGAAATTGAGAATGGAAATGGGGAATGTGTCAAAGAGACAACAACCTGACCAAGGAGCATAAATCAGCCAAAGGCCACCAATGGGTCTTCAACACAGCGAGAAAATCCCGCACCCAGAGGCGAGCTTCAGCTGGCCCCTAAACAAAAATGGGTACTAGTTCAATGAAATTGGATGTCACACTAAACTCCAAAACATATAAATGAACTAAAATTAAAAAACATACAAGACTAACAAAGGCCAGAGGCTCCTGACTTGGGACAGGCGCAAAAATGCAGCGGGGTTAAACTTGTTTTGTGAGTTCTCAATCTTCCCCCTATACCTCTAGCCAATGTAGAATAAACAAACACACAGCAATACGCACAGTAAAACTCAGTATAAAAGATGCATTTGAGGAATAGATAATTTATTAATTGTTTGTCTTATTGGATATATAAGAGTTGAAAATACTGTTTAGGGCTAATTACGCAACCCTAAGATGGTACACTGAAATCACAATGCATGGCTTTTGCTTTTGACCCCCTCCCCACTATATAGGAAGGTATCCTGGATGTACTTATATTCAGATCTGTTAATCTCCTTCATCCCCCTAAGAAGTAGACTCCAATCTTTTGTATGCATGGCTTTTGATTTTTTCACCCCTTCAATGCAATTAGGGAATATGGTATTTATTGCAGATCTTGAGTATTATTGGGCTTATTTTGCCCTGTAAATGCATTAAAAATAATAAAATTATGTGATATCGTTACTTAAAATAATTAAACCTCAGAAAAAAAGATATTCAGAAAATTTGAACAATAGCTGTGCATATATGTCACAATTTTACTCTGATTTCACTTAAATGACATCATCATAGTATCAATAAGTGAATGAAATTGAGTTATTTTATAATTTTAAGAATATCCTATAATTTCAATGTTCAACAGCTTCTTGGCTAAGGGTGCAGCATTTAGCAGTAAGAGCAAAAACTGGTTGGCTGAGATTAATCTTTTTCTTTGGAATATCATTTCTCTGATGATAAAAATTCTTTATCTTGACTGATTTTGGTCTAAATTTTTAGTGTTTTTGCTTATTCAGAAAACATTGGTCACCTGCATCGACCAAAATTATTATTTAAAGGGTCCATTTCATACCTATCTATATACACCTTTTTTTAATGTCAAAGTCTTCAAGATAGAAACAGCAGATAAATAAAATCAGTATATTAAAACAGCACAATGGTCAGAATCTGGAATATAAAGTTTACTTCTTACCCTCCCGGAGCACCTGAGATCAACCCCGGTTTTTGGTGGGGTTCGTGCTGTTCAGTCTTTAGTTTTCTATGTTTTGTTAGGTATACTGTTGTTTGTCTTTTGGTCTTTTTCTTTTTTTGCAATGGCGTTGTCAGTTTATTTTAGACTTTTACTGATGTACTTGTTTATTTGACAGCTAAAAGTAGCAGTACACCAAAACTTGGAGGAAAGTTCTGTAAAGAAAACAAAGAATTAGCTGTTGAAAAAGTCACTTATCTTGGCAATTTCTTTAATGCTGAGTAAGTATTTTTATCACTTTCAACTATTTTTTTTATGGCAGTAAAATATCTGTTTGCAACTGTTGTTCATATTTAATTTTACAAAAAACTATAAGTGAAATGGCCAGTTTAAGTTAAAAACATTTATTAAGACATATTTATGATGTCAGTCATATCACAAATGGCATTTCTGCACCAAAGTAACCAGTCTATATTATTACTAACATTGCAATTTCAAAGGTTAAATTATGTATCTTATCATACATGTACATACTCTATTTGTTATTATTCAATATTATTGCATAAAGGTGTGAGGGTCATTTATATTTGACCATTAAATTTGTCAACAGAATAAAAAACAAAATAACAAACTTTTTTATACTGCAACTAGTTGTGTTTATTTCCAAAATATAGTATCAAAGCTATATTTTGTGCAGTCAATTTAATCATGGATCATTTTTTCCACAATCAGGGGTTCATTTAGGGATGAAAATAAGTTTGACATTTGTGTTACAATTTAAATAGCTATCAATTTATTAATTTAAGTTGCAGTATAAAACTAATATTAGGTCAATGTCAGAAAAATATTAACTTTTTTGTAACCGCACAAAACTGGGGAAGGGCTCAGTCTTCCCCAGTTTCTCAGCCTCATACAAAAAGTTTATATTTTTCTGACATTGACCTTATATTGTAAATATATTTGGTCAACAGCTTGACAGTGATGAGTTGTAAATGTTATGGATCTGTTGAACATGTAACTTCCTATTTGCTGATACTTTGGATTGGCATGCATATATAAAAAAATTTCAGCCACAAGAATTTGTCTTTTGCTAAGAGAATTCATTGTTCACATTTGCCCTGTTTCATTACCAGTGAATAATGAGGAATTTTAGTACATTTATGGTAGTTATAAAAATAAGAAGATGTGGTATAATTGCCAATGAGACAATTCTCCACCAGAGACCAAATGACATAGAAATTAAACAACTATAGGTCACAGTACAGCCTTCAACAATGAGTAAAACCCGTACCACATAGTCAGCTATAAAAGGCCCTAGAATGACAAATGTAAAACAATTCAAACCAGAAAACCAATGGCCTGATTTATGTAAAAAAATAATGAACGAAATACAAATATGTGTATGATATACAGCAACAAATGACAACCACTGAATTACAGGCTCCTGACTTCAGACAGGCACATACAGAATGTGGCGGGGTTAAACATGTTAGCGAATGTTTTGAATTGAAATTGGTTTTATGTTTATAAACAACTTCAGTGGTAAATAATATATTTTTTCATCACAGGATATTTGAGGTACCCTCATCATCAGTGTTGGAGGCAGCTACTAATGAATTTAAAGCACAGTTGTTTTCAGTATGTGCCAGTAATATACTAGATACATCTATAGGTTAGTACATTGAACTATTTGATCTGCCAGGAGAATTATGTTCCCAAATATTGAAGTATATAGAGAATGTTTTGTTTTGCTATGCGTAAATTCACATGTTCATTTATTTGTCGAGCTGCACTTTTAATCTGCTATGCCTTTTGACCAGACCAGTGAATTGGTTTCCATGATGCTAATAAAATATATAAAGTTTCTAATCACATTTTACAATTCCAATTTTTTTATTTTGAGGTAATACATTGCAAAACATTAACTAAATTACTTACGTAAGCCAAATATGACAATGACATACAAATATACAGCACAAACCTTATATATGTTAACCAACAGGTTTGCAACTTGCAGACAGTCAGTTTACTTTTTAATTCCATAAATGCTACTCAAACAATATTTCAGGTGTTCAAAGTAAAATTGCTTGTTACACACAGGTTGTTCGTCTTAAATTTACATCAATTGTGTTCCAGCAATGTTTATTTTAATGCCTAACAAATAATTCAAACAGCTCTTGAGAAAAAAAAGGATTGAAGACATGCTTAAAAAAATTGAATGGGAATGGCTTTCGTTGTAAATGAAACAAAAGTAGGGTTGTGAAAGAAAAATTCTGTTTTTGAATTCATTGTATGTTTTTTTTTTCCCAGGTGCTTCAGATCTGAGATGTTTGTACAATATAATAGCTAACAACTTCCTGTGGTTGGAGAAACACCTGGACATACAGAATGTTCTACCTAAGACTCTTAACATTCCTCAGCATTTTACCATTTCCACTGATTCACCTACAACACCAGCATTTGATCCCACCCTAGAATTTGAGTTGATAGGAAATCGAAAATTTGATCATGTAAGTCACAATTGCAAATATTTATTTGGTTTCATTATGAACAAATTTCTTTGAAAAAGAGATCATTGGAGTTAAGTCTGATCCATTTTGTTGGTTTCAACAAATGAAATATTTTAAAACTAATTGGAGTTATTAGCCTGTGTTATTTTGAGAAATTCTATCTGAAAAAAGGAGCAAACAAATAATCCTTTAATAGAAAGAATGGATATGAGGTGGTAGGATGGAGAAAATCTCATAAAATACATTGTACATAGTAGATTTATATATATATATATATATATATATAGCAAGTTTATTGTTTTCTGTTTAGTATTAAATTTATAATTAAGATCCATTTATTACATCGGTGATCCGTTTATTTGGCAATCGCCAATGGCAGTCAGCAGGGTTTAAGAACATTTGTTGTTCGACCTGTTAGTCAAATGCATTTTGTTATAATATACTTTTTCACTTTTTTGGTCTTTTGGAAAATGTTGTTTGAGTTGTATTTAGACCCCTCTACCAGGATATTTGTTTTGCATGCACACGTATAAAAATTGCGGTTTTTATCCAACGCAATCATAGGTTTGAACGTTGTTTTCAATTTAGACTTGTATATATATATATATATATATATATATATATATATATATATATATATATATATATATATATATTTTTATAAATATAAACAAGTCTAAATTGAAAACATCGTTTTATATATATATACAAAATGCTGTATAGCAGGTTATTTTTCATGTATAACTTATTTTCACTATGTTCAGCCAATGCAAAAAAAAAATTCTCACCTCGAAATAATATATATATGTTGCTAAAGTGATGAAAATACCTTCAAATAGGCTAGCAAAAGTTAAGCCAAGTGAAAATTTTATTTTTCCTTTATTTAGCAAATTAGGTAAAAAAGCTAATGTGGTGTTTCCTGATATCAAAACTGAATCAAAGAAATGTTTTAAAGTGGTTACATTTATATTATAAAATACAAAATTAGATATTGGTCAAAGGTATAACCACTAGACATAAAGGAAAAAACAGCAACACTTGAAAACACAAATTAAGAACAGCTAAAAACCAGAAATGCCAGTTCTCTAAAGCTAGCTGGTTGAAAATCTAAAATATAGCTGTCTCCAGTGGAGAGATAGCAAAACTCATTTGTAACAAAGGGAGAATCTATATTAGCCTATATCAAACTCTGTTTCAATAATGTAATATGAGATAATTTGTAATCTGTTATTATAGGATGCAGTAATGAATTTCAACATTGACTGGCAGAAGCTATTAGCCTCAGACCTAGGCCTTAGTGAATATGGATTTAGAACATTACTTTATAACAGACATGAAATGCAGGATGGAGCATACCTTGAGGAGAATGAGAAGAAACCAGTAGAAGTACTTAGATCTGTGTATGAACATGAAGACAGAGAGTTAGGATAGTCATAAAAATATAATGGAGACTTGTTTTCCTTTTTACCAAAGATATTATTGTAGAAGTAATTCTCTTCTTACATATACGTAGATTGTCATTTACCTAGAATATTATGCCATTATTTGGATGAAAAAAATTGTACAGCCACGTCTGCAGAGAAAATTGTGTATGAGGATTTTGATATCTAGCAATATTAGACACAGACATAGGCATTGCATATGCTATTTGATTCGCACCTAATTATCAATCTGTCAGATTTCTAGGCCCTTAAAAAGTTTTTCTATTTTCATACTGCAGACATCATACTATTTGTTTCCTATTTAACTAACAATTATATTTATCATTAACCTTTCTACAGTGAAACATGTAGCAAAATATTTTTTCTGTATCTCTGTTTGTTAATAGTTGGATTTATTGTGTAAAAATAATCAAATTAAGTCATGCATTATAATACTTATTTTTTTCATCTTTTTTTTTTACTATCTTTTTTGACAAATCAGGGATTTTTAATATCCATTTCAGAAAATAGAAAATTTTGAAGAAAAGTTGAAAAAAGAAAACATGAAACTCTGACATTTTTTTTTTCATCCGAGGATTCATTGAAATAATTTGGATTGTGTGATTATTTTTAAGATTATGAATTAAAAGTACATTTATAAGTATGGGAACCATGGAAAAAGACAATTCTAATTATTATAAACATGTACTTACTTTCTATATATCTTTAATTATTTATTTGAATTTTTTATAATTATTATTTTTATTACTTTGATACTTAATTGAATTTTGCTCATTGTTAACCATGACAACAGAAACCTGCCGATTATTGTGTTGATGTTTGTGTAACATACAGAGTATTTTTATTATCTCATCATTTAATAATATGTAGGGAGATATTTATTTAAAAATGTCAATATATTATTCAGTAATAATCAGTTCAGTAGGAGATATTTCAGTGTATACACTCTTGTGTATGTTAAATATTAAATTTTAAATGACAGCTAAAAAGATTTCAGTTCTGAAAATTGTATGACATAGCAATAAATGAAATCATTTTATTTTAGACACTGAAAGTTCTACTTTGAGCTGCTATCAGAAAGCTCCAATCCTTTTATTAAGTCAGTAGATAAGTTTTATCAATATTATATCTATTCATCTTGAAATCATCCTGTTCACTTTCTCTAGTTCAGGCCATTTTGATTTCTATGCCGGCAAGACATTTTATATTTTTGTGTTTTCCAAAATGTTTGGTTTCTAGCATACTTGTTGAAGGTTTTTCCACAAACATGTGTTTGGAACACAAAAAAAATCACTTCATATGGATTTTTGTACTGGCTTAACTCCTGAAAGACTAAATGTTAAATGTAATTAGTGATTCTAATGGAAGGGTGATACTGTAAATTCAGAAATTATTGCATGGTTTTTATTTATGCAAATAATGTGACTGGTAGAGTATTGCAGTAATAAGAACTCGCATTCTAAAATCTGATATATATATCTTAATGCAGTTTTTCCTGAAATAGCAATAATTAACCTCACTTTTTTGTCTAGTCTTTAAAAATCGCAATGATAAATGCACTCAGTAATTTCTGAATTTACAGTAAATGCTTCTTTGTTAAAATTCTTTCCTTGCCATTTAATGTTGAAAAGTACTCCAAAGCAGCTGATATTTTTTTTTTTTATAAACCACAAAGATAAGGAACATACATGTTAGAATTTATAATATTGTTAAAAACTCCACACAAAACATTTTTATGTAGTGTTTTGTAAATTGTTGTTCGTCTTTTTGTTGTTCTACGTTTTTCCATGGTTTTGTCAGTCTCTCTTTTACTTTAGAGTTTTTATTTTCTCTTTGGTATTTGCTGCCTCTATTTTAGATAGATCTTTAATGATATACTGAATATTGAGTTACCATGTACACACAGTAGTGCTATAGTTTCTAGTCATTTTAGTGTGTTTTATACATGTTTTAGTGTAGTATTGATTTCCGTCCATTGTTCATGTGTACAACTAATGTGTATTTGTGTCCTTTATATGTAATACCCACCAATGCCATGTAAAATGTGCCAACCCTTAATATTGTTATATATTGAGATTTTAAAGCAGGGAGATTTAAAATTATAAAAGATGTAAAACTTCTGTGTTGTGAAAAGAAATAATGTCTGAAGAAACTAGTCCACTTGTCTATGGTAATTACATTTCAAATCTTACGACTATGAAAGGCAATGTGTATTATGCTGTTTAAGAAGATTATTTTGACCAAGAACACATTTTATCCATATAATTTTTATGCCCTACCTACGATAGTAGAAGGGCATTATGTTTTTCTTGTGTGGATCCGTTCTTTGTCCGTCCGTCCGTCCGTTCGTCTGTCTGTCCCGCTTCAAGTTAAAGTTTTTGGTCATGGTAGTTTTTGATCAAGATGAAGTCCAATCAACTTGAAACTTAGTACACATGTTCCCTATGATATGATCTTTCTAATTTTAATGTCAAATTAGAGTTTTGACCCCAATTTCACGGTCCACTGAACATAGAAAATGATAGTGCGATTGGGGCATCTGTGTACTATGGACACATTCTTGTTTACATTTACTATTAAAATAATAAAACTGAACCCAAGTGGAATAGATTGACATATATTAATATTTTGTTCATACATTTTTGTTGTTGCTCATAAATTAAATAACAGTTATTTGGAACTAAAGCTTATACATATATGTCTTTATTATTCAATATAAAAAAAAAGATATTTAGGATATTTTAAATTAGAGTTGAATTAAATTTGGTTTTGAATGCAGATTAAAAGGGTTGTAACTGAAATATTAGATGCTACAATATTTGTATAGAAATACGTTTTTTTTTTACATATTCAAGATTAATTTTTGATCCTATGTGTAACTTTATATTAAGAAACTCAATTAAGATCTGTCTGTGGATTGTTGTCTGTGATATCAATTTAATTTACCTATTTATTAAATATATATTCAATTTGATCAAGCTTTTTCTATTAATGCCTTAACAAATGTTTTAACATTTGATTTCAGTAGCAAGAACAACTTAGATTTTCTATTGGAATATACACATTTGTCTGTAGGTATTAGTCATCAAGTCATACTGTTAAAAATATGTGTAAGTATTTACCTGAACTGTTTAAATGCTACTTGAAGAATTTTAACTGAAAATGACAAAAGTCCAAAATACCTCCAAAAGTCAACTATCAGCCTTCAACAATTGTATACACAATCTGTCAAGCTGTCTAAAAATTATGAATAAAGGAGAAGTTATGATTTGGGCCCAAACTGGCCCTAAAATCAAAGGTTTTTTTAAACTTGTTCTAACTTGTAGAATCAAATTTCGAACCTTTATACTTTAATAAAGCATTGTAGTTTTGGTTTATAATAACCTTTTCATGGTTTATATAGTCATAGAAAACCAGAAAATTCAACAAATTGCTAAATTATGCATAATTTTGACTTCACATTCTAAGAAATACCATAGAGCATCACCAATAAGATCAAATTTTTGCCAGGCCAGCAAACTTTTATGAAGCAGCCTATACCAAATGACATGATGCAAATTATATTATCACACAAAGGTCTACGCAAAGGTCTAGGTCTGAAATATTTTCTTTCAGTCTCATGTTTGGGGCTAGGCAGTACACTATGTGCCAATTTCAAAAGTCTTCCAAAGTCCAAGCAAATGTTAGATAGTGGTGGCTCCAACATGATCACAATGTCGCCTGCCAAATCCCCCAAGGTTGCTGGTCACTTTGCATCCCCAGATCTCATTTAAAAGGAACTATAAATATGTTCAAATATGCTTAAAAGCCACCTAGTGACCTGAGGCAATTTTGAAACATGACCTTCTGAACTGAGAAGGTACTCTACTGGAGCCCATAGTGATTTCAATAGACTGAACTTCCAGTGTTGCAAAAAACTTTTGAATGTTCATTTTTGCTAATTTGTTTGGCTGCTGACCCATGAGTTTTGCCCAACATAATTAGGACTGCTTATTTGTATTCTGATATTCAAAAGACAACATATGCAGACAACTTAAGGGGAAATTTAATCACGTTTAAATATAATTTTTCACTGATTAGGAAATTACACCAGCAATAGTAAAGGTCAGGGTTTCAAAATCTCCATTCTTCATGCAAGTTGTTTTGAAATTTTGTTAAAATCAAAATTTAGAATGAAGATAAGATGACATCTTGTTAATTGGTCAATAATATTTAGACCTAAGCAAACACAACTATACTAGTTATTTGTGAAATTAAGAAAAACTTTTGCTGTGAATTTTTTTTAAAGGGAATAGGAAAATACTAATGGTAAGCAAAGGTATCTAAACATCCACCACATACTTCAGACATCAGCAAGATTGTCTTGAGAATATATAATATTACAATATGGTGACCTGCACTTGGTAGAAAAAAATTCCATGGGGAGGGGGTGTTTTGGCTGCTTCAATACACAGTATAATTTAATAATTGTTACATCTCTTTTATGTACACCTTGCCCAAAGTGTCATGTGAGCTATTGCAATCACATAAACTTTAACAAGTCTTCTCTTCTGAAACCACTGGACCAATTGCAACCAAACTTTAACTGAATGATCCTTAGGGTATATAGATAATTTTGTGTTTTTTTTTTGTTTCTGACAAACTACCAACATGGTTGCCACGGTTAAAAGAAAATCTGACAGGACAGGGCAAATATGCTCAGAATGTCAAGATCTACCTCCTTATTTCTACCAAAATTTTCAGGGGACTTCTTACTGTAGTTATTGCCCTTTAATGACATTTTTGATTAATTACGAGTTTTTGCCTATAATCTCGTAAACTATGATAAAAAGGTAGAAAATGTAAGCAACAAAAATGATCTGGAAAACAAGATCTACAAAAACACCAAACTGACTGAAATCGTCATAAGACTCCTTAAATAGCAGTTATTGCCCTTAAATGATGAATATTTTTTTTCTAATTTTTATAGTTTTTGCCTAATATCTCTATTATAATAGATAGGTAGAAACTGCAAGCTGTTTACCCTCCTTAAAATAATGTCAATTGGTAGAAAATATAAAGGCAGTACAAATTAAACAAAGCATTATATTAGAATGGTTATTGAATAATTTACTCTTTCTCAAGACATTTAAGAAAATTTAATTTTTAAATAAATTATTTGAGAAATCTATACTTCTTTTCAATGCTTAAATTGAAATTAATATGATATTTAATAATATGTATGTAATTGTCGTTTGTGTCCAGTTAACATCTGGCTGCAGTATAAACTAACATCAAGAAAGTTTATTAATGATTATAAAGTTTATTACTTGGTGTGGGAACACTTTTATATATGTAGGACTCTAAAGTGGGATGGGGACGCTAAAACGCGATGATCACGCTAAAGTGCGACGGAACACGCTAAAGTCTGATGCTGCAATACGCTAAAGTGCGTTTTTCCGCGAAATGGCGTTTGTTCGCGAAAGTATGGACGTTTGCAACCATAAATAGCATTATGACGCTACACGCCGTTTATACAAACAAAAATGGACATGGGTAAACGAGAATGTTTGTGCAGATGAAGTTTTTTTTACTAGACACGAAAACAAATGATTCCAATTTTGGTTGGTGCTAGAAAAGTTTGTATGCGGAGGAGTTATTTCCCAAAAAATCATCGACAGTAACAGAGTAATTGGAAGGTGTATACCGTAAAAGAGAGCGAAAACGGCAAAATACACCAAGTGTCAAAGTATTTAATTCGTCCAAATTTGATTTAGAAACTCCTTCTATGTTTTTAATCTCATGTTATTTACTTGCATGAAATAAAAGCTACTTTTTAATTTTCTAATTGAAATATTTTATAAAACAATTTTTTACAATATGGTTCGTCATGTCTGTGAAAGAGATAGAAAACAATAAACAATAACAAATAAGAAGTTGTGGTGTAATTGTCAACGAAACAACTATCCACCAAAGACCATATGCACTTAGCAACATTATGAACTTCAACGTGGAGGCTTGGCTTACATCGCATAGAAGCTATATAGGACCACGAAACGACTAATGTAAAACAATTCAAAAGAGAAAGACAACAGCATGATTTATAAACAATACAATAGACGAAAAACTAATATGAACACAGCAAAAAACATAAACCATTGCCTGAACCCCATTCTCGTTACACCATCGCACTTTTAAAAGCGTGTTAAACCAACGCTCTTTAGCGTGTCATGTATACCATCGCATTTTAGCGTGTCATCTGATCGCACTTAAAAAAAACAAACAACCATCGCACTTTAGCGTCTGAAACCATCGCACTTTAGCGTAGACCATCGCACTTTAGAGTGACCATCGCACTTTAGAGTACCATCACACTTTAGAGTCCTACATATATATATGAGAACCACATAAAGAAAGATGGATTGAAATCAAATACAAAGAAGTAAAGCTTAGTATGTAGGTAACAAGACAGTGAAAATTCAGAAATATACCCAATACATATAAACTATATTGTTGTTTGCTTCTTGTATTTTTTTAACTTATTTGAAAAGAAGTGCTAGAAAACTATTTTTTTTCTCATTATGTCAAAAAGGAGTTCTAAGCAATTTTTACATTGATAAGAGAATACATTAATATTAATGCTATCATCTAAAAAACAAAGGGGAAATATGTAGTTTTATTCAAAATAAACACTGAAAACGTTGATAAAAATGTTGATAAAAAAATCTCCAGTTATGAGGCCCAAACTCAAGGGGAAAATTTTCAAATCTCCAGTTGTGACTTGACAACTCTGTCACATGTATGTTATCGGCAAAGATGATCAGCAATACTAGATCTACAAGAATACCAATATGACTTAAAATCATTAGATGACCCCTTATAGTAGTAAGTACCCATAACAGATGATTTTTTTACTACTGAGTTTTGGCCTATCTTCTTTAAAACTATAATATATAGGTAGAAACTGTATACAGCAAAAAATAATCAGTAATCTTAAGAGTCTTTGCCTATCATCTCTATAATAGATAGGTAGAACTCTTAAGAGCAATACTAGATCTACAAGAATGCCAAAATGACTTACAACCATTGGATGACCCCTTATAGTAGTAATTGCCCTTAGTAGATGATGTTTTACTAACTTTGAGTTTAGATAAATAAGAAGATGTGGTATATGAGTGCCAATGAGAAAACTCTCCATCCAAGTCACAATGTATAAAAAGTTAACAATTATAGGTCAAAGTACGGCCTTCAACACGGAGCCTTGGCTCACACCGAACAGCAAGCTATAAAGGGCCCCAAAATGACTAGTATAAAACAATTCAAACAGGAAAACCAACGGTCTAATCTATATAAAAAACGAGAAACACCTATGAACCACACCAACAAATGACAACCACTGAACAACAGGCTCCTGACTTAGGACAGGTGCATAAAAATGCAGCAGGTTTAAACGTTTTAACAGGCACCAACCTTCACCCTAACCTGAGACAGTAGTGTAACATTACAACATAAAAAGACACACTATAAAATATCAATTGAAATGGCTTAACTCGATCAAAAAGACATTTAAACAAAAACAAGTAAACATACACTCATACCACATCTCCTTATATCTATACACTGAACGAATAAGTTTGATCTTTGACACAATATAAATACAATATTAAAACGTAGGTGCCTATATAACATAGACGTTACAGGTAGTGATAAAAAAGAAGTAGGAACAGTGTCAAAAAGACAACTCTAACCTGGGACAAAATGGTGTTACGGCCGATTATCTCTAAAACTATAGAATAGATAGGTAGAAACAGCAAAAGGTAAAAATGATCAGCAGACTACAGAAGATATACAAATATGTTGAAATGACAAAATCCATAGGATGACTCTGTGTTTGAGTTAATCGTCCTTAAATGATAATTTTTTTAAATATTTTTCCGAATTTTTTATTATTATCTAAATTTTTTAACAGGTGAGCAAATCAGACTCTAATGAGCTTCTGGATTCAGTCAGCATCTGTATAATAACTTAATCATTGATTTAATTTCAAATTCAGTTTCATTTGACTTTTTTTTATAAAAGTCCCTCATCACTCTAATGACTGTCATTAGATTATGCCATTGAGTCATTTATACACTCTGATTATTAACAGTGTATGAAAGTACCAATTTTACTGCACAAAGCGATTGCAATAGCACACCTGGTCTAGATGTCACTATTTTTTTATCTAAAGAAAGAAAGTCTTTCTGAACTTTATAATAGAAAAACAAAGAATATTCAAAACATTTATAACATGTTTTAAGCTATTCTTGCTGGGATATAATAGTCCCGGATTCTTGTAAAGTTCATTCTGAGCAAAGGAGAAGGCACAGAATTTGCACAGTTGTACACATCCAAGTTCATATATACTTTAATATTAAGTTTATGACGAATCCAATGCATCGTAAGGAGTCAGCTGACTCAACACAGTCACACGAATATGTTAAAAATAAAATTGTATATCACGGTCTGCTCGCCTTATATTATTGAAGACTGAGATTTTGGTTTTAATTGAATTTACAGTAAGATATCGTTACAATATCTATCACGAATGATTTCAAATTTAGCCAAGACAAGACAACTGACAAGTACTGAATGCACATTAATGAGTCACAGTTAATTATTATATATCAAAGAAGACAATGGCGGGAATTGAGTTACTGTTACTGATCTAAATATAAACATAAAATTTCCATCGATGTAAAATTTCAGTTTGCACCCGACAAAATACCTGCAATCACATTGTTAGAGTAAGACGATAGTGGAACTTTTCAGCAATGTAAAACATAGACCTTGAATTGAAAGACATGGACACATAAAAACCCAAGGTAAAAATATAGGCTGAAAATATATACTCATTTCAAGACGCTACTTTCGGTTTTGTTTTCAAACAGGCATTTAATTTTATAATGAGTATACGTACATAGGTGGATCCTTTTTAAACTGTAAGTCGGGGAAGTATTACAGGATTTATATAAGATAATAAATCAACAACAAGGCAGTTGCTTGTATTCAAGATAATTAATTAAATAATTGCATAAATTTGGATATATATCCTTGAACAAAATGTCATTTTTGTCCTTTAGTGTATTTTAGAATTAGGGATTTATATTTAAAGCATATATATTACAGTTAACTTGTTTGATATAATTTTTGTATAAACATATGCCTTACTGTATTTTGTAGACAATAAGCTATTTTTAATTGATTATTAAATTATAAGCAGTTTGATAAGGGCAAGACATTTAGATTAAATATATGATGAGGTTGCTGACATGGCTGATTAAATCAAAAGTATCTGAAATTACTGAATCAGATGATGATATATGTCAAAGATGTGATTAAAACCACAGATGTAAATTGATCAGATATTTGTCAAATCTATTTTAACTCCATGAACTAGTGTAAAAGAGAGGCAAAAGATACAAAGGGGTATTCAAATTGATAAGTTGAAAATAAACTGACATGGCAAAAAACGAAAAAAGACCAAAGCACAAATAAAAGTATGCAAAACATAACATAGAAAACTTAAGACTGACCAACACGAACCCCACCAAAACCAGGGGTGATCTCAGGTGCTCCAGAAGGGTAAGCAGTTCCTGCTCCACATGTGGCATGTGTCCTGTTGCTCATGTAAATGTGATAAGCTATTCCCCTTGCATCTCCAAGAAAATTCTAAACATATCAGCAAACTAGTTTCTAAACACTGCCGTATATTCATGTGCCTATCCAAAAAGCAGGAACATAATCAATGGTTGTCTTGTGTGATATCTGAATGATTTTTGTTTTATATGCCCCCGCCGTAGGGGAGGGGGCTTTAAGTTTTACCCTTGTTCGTCAGTGTACGTACATACATACATACGTCCCAAAATTGGTTTCCGTTCTCTAACTTTAGTTTGCGTCACTTTTACTGTTCTAGAGTTATGCCCCTTTACAAATGGAAAATTGCTGAATTTATCATTTCCTTTCTCTAACTTTAGTTTGCCTCAACCAAATGTTATGAAACTTATAAACAATGCTTATTACCACAAAACACAGATCAAGTTTGAATTTTGATGGCATCACTTTTACTGTTCTAGAGTTATGCCCCTTTACAAATGGAAAATTGCTGAATTTATCGTTTCCGTTCTCTAACTTTAGTTTGCCTCAACCAAATGTTATGAAACTTATACACAATGCTTATTACCACAAAACACAGATCAAGAATGAATTTTGGTGGCGTCACTTTGACGGTTCAAGAGTTATTCCCCTTTAGAAATGGAAAAATTGCAAAATTTTTCGTTTCCGTTCTCTAACTTTAGTTTGCCTCAACCAAATGTTATGAAACTTATACACAATGCTTATTGCTACAAAACACAGATCAATTTTGAATTTTGGTGGAGTCACTTTTACTGTTCTAGAGTTATGCCACTTTACAAATGGAAAAATTGTTGAATTTTTTGTTTCCATTCTCTTAAGTTTGCCTCAACTAAATGTTATGAAACGTATACACAATGCTTATTACCACAAAACTCAGATCTAGTACAAATTTAGGTAGTGTCACTTTTACAGTTCTTGAGTTATGTCCCACACAATGCTTATTACCACAAAACACAGTTCAAGAATGAATTTTGGTGGCGTCACTTTGACCGTTTAAAAAGAGTTATGCCCCTTTACAAATGGAAAAAATGCTGAATTTTTCGTTTCCAATCTCTAACTTAAGTTTGCCTCAACCAAATGTTATGAAACTTGTACACAATGCTTATTACCACAAAACACAGATCAAGTTTGAATAGTGGTGGCGTCACTTTAACCATTCTAGAGTTATGCCCCTTTAGAAATGGAAAAATTGTAAAATTTTTATTTTCTTCTAAATATCAAGTAATTTTATTAAAATTGGAGTTATCTTCCTTTGTCCATGATTATAGTTGAATCAACTACAATCAATGCTTTATACAATGCAATGTTTAATTTTGACTTCCACTGATAAAACACAGATCAAGTTGAATTTGGGTAGTGTCACTTTAATCATTATTGAGTTATGCCCCTTTATAAATCGAAAGATTGCAAAATTTTTAGTTTCCATTCTGTAACTTAAGTTTGCCCCAACCAAACATTATGAAACCTATACACAATATTCATTACCACAAAACTAAGATCAAGTACAAAAAATAAACATAAAAATTGCTGAATTTTATGTTCCATTCTATAACTTTGGTTTGTCTCAACCAAATGTTATAAAACTTATACATAACCGTTCTAGAGTTATGCGTGTTTACAAATAGAAAAATTGCTGAATTTTTAGTTTCTGTTCTCTACTTTAGTTAGCCTCAACCAAATGTTATGAGACTTACACACAATGCTTATTACCACAAAACTCAGATCAAGTTCAAATTTGGGTAGCGTCAGTTTTACCGTTCTTCAGTTATGTCCCTTTATAACTATTTGATATGCAAGCGGGGGCATCATCTGTGTCCACATGTGGACACTATCCACATTTATTTAGAGAATGTCGTGCTGATAGCAGATCGTTGGCAGTTTTTGTTTAATTTACTCATAACATCTTTAGCGTCTATTAGAGTCAGGAGGATTTAGAGCTAGTCTTACTGCATAGACACTTGTCAATTGTTGAAGACTGTATGTTGACCTCTAGTTACCTTTTTGTTAGTTGTGATGTTGTCTCATGACATACATGTAAAGCCCACATCTCCTCTAACTTACATACTTGAAAAGAGGTTGTTGAGATAAAAAATATCTGGTAAAAAGTAGAAAATATTCAGAAAACCCAGTGACTGGACAAGATATTGTCCCAGGGATGAAATTATTAGCCATCTTATCAATTAACAAATTATTTTTTATTGGTTAAGATTTCATTCATGGAATTATATAAAACCTCTAATGGGACTGGCTTGATAGTTATCAATTTCCAGACTTTATCTCCATGATCACTGCTCTTCAGATAAGAAAAAACATAGTGCATTGAGCACAGCATTCTATACTTCCTATCCATGAACATTTCAAGAAGTTTATCAATAAAATTATACTCAGATATTCAAGTTACAAAATGATGTACTGGTATATGTGTATAACCCTACTAGTAGAAATAATACATAAATTGTGCAGGGAGATATCTATAATATCTGTTCTAATTAAATATCATTGATGTTATTGTTAAAGTAATATTTAAGATTGGAGTTATCTATTAATGTATTAATGGATTTATATAAGATAATAAATCAACAACAAGGCAGTTGCTTCGTATTCAAGATAATTAACTAAATAATTGCATAAATTTGGATATATATCCTTGAACAAAATGTCATTTTTGTCCTTTAGTGTACTTTAGAATTAGGGATTTATATTTTAAGCATATATACAGTTAACTTGTTTGGTATAATTTTTGATTCAGCCATGCTGGATCTATGCGATCACTCTGTTTTTGGAGATGGTGCAGAATACTAAGTTGAAGACATGTCATGAAACTAATTATGTGTTTTTATGACTTGCAGAAACTTTCTACACCATTTTAATCATCAACTGCCAACTTTGGACATGTTATTTGCCCTTAAATTAAGAAAAGATTGGTTGAATGTTACCCTTTTATTTTAGATATACACTTGCATATAGTTCCTTTGTAAATCCAAATTTATAATGATTTACTATTTATGAATTAATTTGAAAAAGTATTTTTACATCAATTGAATCAGTTGATAACAATTTTGAAAGCATTATATCATTATCTTATACTTGTGTAAGTTTTTGTTCTATGAAATTTAGGTCAACATGTGTGGTAATATATCTAAGTTTATTCCCACACTTTTTTGAAATGGTATTACTCCAGTTCTTTCCATAGGCAAGTAAGAGTCAGTATGATTATCAACTGTCATGATTTTCAAATAATTACACTCAAAGGTGTAAGTATTAATTGGAAACAACCCCAGTCTTAATTCACCACATTGAATATCTCCTGACCTGTTACATAATTAAATAGGCATAAATTGACAAAAACTGAATACACACATTCTTGACCTCAATAGTTAACTTACAATGTATTATTTATTTTGATCTACACTACATTAAAATATTCTGCTAGCTGAATGATTAACATGATTAATCAGACGTGGCTTTTTTTCAAAGAAAAGACAAAAAATGTTAAAATATGTATAAAAAATGCAAGCAAATTTTATTTCACTTGTAAAATCAGTGTCATTATCTTCTGACATAAGTCAATAATCAAGATCTAATTAATTAGTTACAATTATCAGAAATTTGATTGAAACAATAAACAAAATTGCAATAAATAAACTCTTACCTGAGCATTTTCTGCAATAAAATTTATTTGTTTGTTCTGCATTTATATCCCATTATATTGCTATTTAACAGTAATTGGAAATATCTCAGCATTATGTATTTGTACATTTAAATTTGAATACAGGAAATGTATTTTTTCTTAATGAAGAATGAACACCAATTTAGATAAAAATTATTTATTATTTTTTTTTCATTTTTGTTTTGAGAAAGTGCATTTCCAAGGCCTCTTTCTGGAAATTATTAAGCCAGTTATTATTAATGGCATATAAAAAAATATATTACTTGTTTGACGATTTCCCTTTCCATTCATGTCAATACCATCAAAATGCAAATATTTATCAAAATAAAAATCTGACAGAGTCTAAAATTGAAATATCAATATACATTATATATATATCATTATTTGCATCAATATTGCGAAATTCCCAACCTGTGGCCAATAACATAGAAATTTAACAGTAAGATTGGAAATGAAAAGAGAAAAAAATATTGAAAAAGTATAGTCAGAAAGAATATTAGACTAGCTATGAATATGGCTGGATCACAACATCCACGATGCTTTGATTGTATAAACATATGCCTTACTGTATTTTGTAGACAATAAGCTATTTTTAATTGATTATTAAATTATAAGCAGTTTGATAAGGGCAAGAAACTTAGATTACATATATGATGAAAAGAGGTTGTTGAGATATCTACCTTTGCCTATAACTGTACTTGAACTAACTACAATGTAATTGTAGTTGAACCCAACCTAAAATTACAGACGATGGAAGATTTTTCCTATTTAAAGTATTGCCTTCTAATGCTTAGTACAATTTTATTTCCCACTGCAAAATGAATACAATCTTTACACTTCAGTGCTCTCAAGCACTTTGATTATGAAGAGAGGTGAGAAATCTTCCCCATATCTTTATAATCATTTTGAAAAGGCAAAAGTATAGCCCCTATTCCTTGCCACTTTCCCACCTTTGTTCTTGCATCAGCCTTTGAAACAAAGGTGAAAACATAGTCAAGAATACAGAGGGTAATAAAATAACATATTAATTATTCATAAATTTAAATTCAATTCAAACCCATAATGGCATATTTAAAAACAGATAGGGAACAACCATTCAACTTGGAGGTTAGGGGATTATGTTTTTTGCTAAGAAAAAAAATTGTGATCAGGGAGAAGAAAGTAAAAAAAAAATTGATTGAGAGTATTTGACATTCCTTTAAAAAAAAAACGCTTTGAATTGTGACACTGAAATAGAAAAAAACTTAAGCTTGTGTGGTAGGAAACAATCTCAGATTGACAGCAAAAAAAGCATACCCTTCCTAAGTTAAATTGCCATTCCCTTAGATACAATAAGTTACACAATCTAATGCAATATCAAACAAAATTAAAATATCTCAATTTCCATTGTTATTTATTTTTTAAACAAAATTATATATGATTTGTCTGTTGTCTTCTTTCCAGACAAAGTTTAGATAGCCATTGGAAGTTATTTGAATGTGATCTGATCAAGAACACACTAATATGGATCAAGCCACTGCTAAGAATCAGGAGGACATTAAAAAGCTTCGAAGAGATGTAAAATCTTTACATCAGTCTGTGGATATGGCTAGACAAAATATTGATGCTGTTCATCAAACATTAACGAGTGGGATCCAGAAAGTTTTGTCGGAAATTGAAAGATTGAAAATAGAAAATGTGAAAATTAAATCAAACTTGAAGTATTTGATGAACTCCAAGACTAATCCTTCAGGAGATTCTAATATATTCTCTGAGCCTGAAACTCGGACAACTAGCTGGGTCAAAAGTATGAGAAGTGCTCCTGGAAACCAATTCAACTTACCAAGTAAGCTTTAAAGTACTTGTTACTATCAGAGAGGATTATTAGGGGGGGGGAGCAAGTGAAAAAAGGAAATAAAAAGAAGCAATTAATTTGAAGTATTCTTTTAAAATATTCATTATGAAATTTTCATTGGCAACATATTAAAGTTGATGTCGACTAGAATTGTTTTTGGAAATGGTACACTTGTAACACATTTTTAACAAATAAAATAAAAGATTGGTTCGACTCACATGAAAGGAATGAAAGATCAACTTAAAATGAGAACTATGAAAATAATTTTTTCTTCAAATGAAAAAGGTGCATAACCATAGACTTTAATTTTGGGCGGGAGATTAAGACTGCATTCCAATCAAAATTTGATGTTGCTGGCTTGATTTTATCACTATGTTTGAGATGAACAAAACATAGTGCATTGAGCATAATGTTCTATACATTCCATCAATAAACATTTAAAAAAATTATCAATGAAATATTAACTCAGATTTTCTAGTTACAAAATGATAAGTATGCGTATAACAGTACTTGTCAAGAAATTTGGGTAAATTTTGCATGGTGCATGAATCTAGTATCTGTATTTAAAAAATGTGTTATCTTTCTTTGTCTATAAATTTAAAAGAGAGGCGAAAGATACTAGAGGGACATTCAAACTCATAAGTCAAAAACAAACTGACAATGCCATGGCAAAAAACAAAAAACGACAAATAGACAAACAACAGTGCACAAAACACAACATAGAAAACTAAAGACCGAGCAACACGAACCCCACCAAAAACCAGGAGTGATCTCAGGTGCTCCAGAAGGGTAAGCAAATTCTTCTCCACATAATTGTAGTTTAACAAAATACATTCATAGTTCCTTCCAATGCTTACTACAATACCACATTTGAATTTTAGTTCCCACTGCAAAATGAATGCATTCTTTACCCATGTTACCCTTCAGTGCACTCAAGCACTTTGATTCTTCATAAATTACCACAATACCAGCAAGGGGGATCGAATTAAGGACCACTTAAACAGTAAACTAGTTCTAATTGCCACAGATGCAGCTTATTTAGTGCTGACTTAAAAAAAAAGTTAATAGTTTTGGCAACAGTTTGTTGTCACTCAGATAAAATGGAAGATAGCCCAATTACTTCCCCCTGTCTTAACAATAAATGTTTTGAATTTGAAAAGGAAAATAATAATTCTGGCCTGAATTAATGCAGTTAAAATGTTGCTCTATTTCAATAATGTCGAGTCCAACAACACATAAAGTGAAATCATTAACTGTTTTGTAATGCAACTAATCTTTTCCTGTAGTTAACATAATTTTGCTAAATATTGCATATATTGTTTCACTTATCAGTGAAGTTGTTTTATTGTTTGTCCATTTAGTTTTGCCATCAGCTGTTTAGGGTACAAATGTACATTTCAAATAAAGATTTATAAATTGTATCCTATCTTTTCCATTATACCTTTATACATGTGTAGTCAATGAAATTGAAAGCACGACTAAGTGCTCATAAAGGATGTACCTGCAATCAGGTGTCATTTTTATACGTGATCTCAGAAAATACCCTGCTGAAATTGAGATATTTTTTTATATAAACCATTCAAATATCTTTACCAGGAAAGGAAATGATACTTCATTGTTTTCATAATTTCCTTATAATATTATAGAATGTTTCTGAAGTGTTCAAGAATATATATTCTTGACAATTACAAGTGACATTTCCTTTGTGTTTATGGATATTACGTACGACATTGTATCATTTAGTCAAAAGAATATAATGTTTATTGGGTATGTAGACATCTTTAGATACTTTTATAGTATTAAAACAAAAACAAAAAAACAGGAGAATTTTGGGGAAAAAAACTATATTAATCTTAAGAGTCCCTTGTCAGGTTTGAAAAAGGAAAATTCCCATACTTGAAAATTATGTGACCTCCAACATAGGTCGAACTTGTATGCCTTACTAAGCTCTATGAAAAAAGACATGCCCATAGGTAACAAAGACAGGTACTTAAATGAAAAAAGATATCTTTCTTCCACAAATATTTTTCTGGATGAAAGAAATTCCCTAGTACATGGTATGTTTTCTTTTCCTTTGCCTAATGTCAAAAAGGATGGGTGGATGACTGTTTAATGTCCAGTGGCAAATAAAATGCATATTCACGACCAAAGCATGATGATATGATATGAATATTAACCCTGCTTTGTACTAGACTGACATGCTAAGCAAGATTTTAAACATGCTAGTTCACAAGGTAACAATCTGCAGGAAGAGATGTCACCTTACTCAGACATATTATTCTGACTCCAAGCCGACCAGTCTTTGCTCTTACTCCTAAATGTTGCATGTTTAGTGGAGAAGCAGCAAATCTTTTGTTTGACCCGGCTGTGGTTTGACACCACAATCTCTCACACTCGAGGCGAACACACTACCATGAGACCACCAAGGCTGTATGTCAAAAAGAAAATTGATGCTTATGGAATAAAATGCACCATTGTCATGCTAGTTCAAGGAAGTTACATACAATTCCAGTGTGCTGTGTTTTCGTAACACCAATTTTCAAAAGAAAACACCAGTTAACCAAACCAAGGAAATCTTTTTATCAATTGTTCTCATGTGACTGTCCCTTTTGCTTGAATTACTTAGCTTATCTAGCTAGGACTGGATCAATTTTGGGATTTGTTTACCACTGGGAAGTAGAACAGATATAAATGCATTTGATGGAGTAAAAGCTAGCTTCAACCATTTGATGCATTAAAAACTTCATTACATGATAATTGTTCAATCAAATGTTAAAGAAATAAACTAAAAATTTAGAAGGTCTATGAGGCATGATGTGTAGGTAAGGGCTACCCACTTGTGTACTCATAGATATCTATATATCTAGATTTTGTGATTATGAATCATTTTATATCTCAATGTAAGCATAACCAAAGTGGGATGTAGGGAGTTAAGTTGAAGGTGAAGGCGTGCAGATATCTTCTTCATATTTTTATGTCCCCGCCGTAGCAGAGGGGGCATTAAGTTTTACCCTTGTCCGTCTGTACGTATGTCCGTCTGTCTGTCCGTCTGTACGTATGTCCGTCTGTCTGTCCGTCCATACGTACGTCCCAAAGTTGGTTTCTGTTCTCTAACTTAAGTTTGCCTCAATCAAATATTATGAAACTTATACACAATGCTTATTACCACTAAATACAGATCAAGTTTGAATTTTGGTGGCGTCACTTTTACCGTTCTAGAGTTATGCCCCTTTACAAATGGAAAAATTGCTAAATTTTTCGTTTCCATTCTCTAACTTAATTTTGCCTCAACCAAATGTTATGAAACTTATACACAATGCTTATTACCACAATATACAGATCAATTTTGAATTTTGGTGTCGTCACTTTTACTGTTCTAGAGTTGTGCCCTTTACAAATGGAAAAATTGTTAAATTTTTCATTTTTTTTTCTAAATATCAAGTAATTTTTAAAATTAGTGTTATCTTCCCCTGTACATGATTATAGTTGAAATGTAAGCGTACTTTCATTCTGCCGTGTGTTTATTCCGGGTAACTGTTTTTCACTAGAGAATATTGGATGTAAATAGTGTGAAGTGTTGATCTTGATATCGTTGTACTGTTTTTATTAGACCGGTTTATTGTTTACATAAATAAATGGGTTAAAATTAAAATGATTTTCAAGGAACCAGTTTAATTAATCTGAGTCAATCTAGTAAATAATATTGATGATGATGAGGAGGATATTTTTATAACTCAAAATACTTTATCAATGATCAGGACATTGAACTTGATACAAACCAAATTTAAAGAGCAGATTTGTTCTAACATAAAGTTTCAATTACAGAAACATCTTTTGATATTGACATAGAAAATATGATTTAATATCCAAGTCGACCGAAAAGCAAATACATAGAAATACTTAGGCAATCCAATAAATATAAATATTACAATTAGTGACGATTCAAAAGCATATGATTTTATAGATTTGCATAGAAAAATTATTCAAATCTCATTCGTTAATAAGCATTATTGTGTTATCGTGTGTTCAAAATGAGTACTAATCACTTCATCTATGAATGGATCTAAAGCACTAGTAATTAATCCCGCCGGGTATGAAATAACTAGTTCAATCATTCCGGTACAAAATCACTAGTGTAACCATTCCTGGTTAAAACACTAGTGTGAACATTCCTTGGATGAAAACTCTCCACTTTTTACATAAATCAGCTATGCAATTTTTAAATACACTAAAAACTATTAAGCCACATTTTATATATATTTCCCCTTCAAAAAAACCTTTTTAGAACCTTATAATGACTGGTGGATGTTTTACACTGGACCCGGATAGAAAACCCTAGTGATTTTTTGTTGGTGGATAAAAATCACATGGGATTTTCTTTCTCCAGATAAAGTACACTGGTGGAATCAAACCACTGTTACAGAATCAACTACAATCAATGCTTTATACAATGCAATGTTTAATTTTGCCTTCCACTGATAAATTAAAGCAATTTTACCCTTCATTCCTAAAAATATTTCAAATAGATATAAGAAGATGTGGTATGAGTGCCAATGAGACAACTCTCCATCTAAGTTAAAATTTATAAAAGTATACCATTATAGGTCACAGTACGGTCTTCAACACGGAGCCTTGGCCTTTTCTTTGAAAATTGGAGTTATCTTTCTTTGTGCATAATGGTAGTTGAATCAACTACAACCAATGCTTTATACAATGCAATATTCAATTTTACTTCCTACTGATAAATTATAGCAATCTTTACCATTCAGTGCTTACAAGCTGTTTGGTTACCGCTCTAGGGTATGCCCCTTTACAAATAAAAAAATTGCTGAATTTTTCGTTTCCATTCTCTAACTTTAGTTTGCCTCAACCAAATGTTATGAAACTTATACATACTGCTTATTACTACATAATACAGATTAAGTACGAAATTTGGTGGTGACACTTTTACCATTCTTGAGTTATGTCCCTTTATAAACATAAAAGTTGCT